TTAAAAACCAAAATCCCCTGCAAAAATGTATATGTAGATTTTCCCTTTATTTTTTCATTAACAAAAAAATTTAATTTTCAAAATTTGAAAATCTTTATTTTTATTTTTTGGTTCGAAAGGAAAATTTTCTATTGTTTTATTTTGTTAGTTTTCTAAATTATAACGGCTGTCGGCAGTGTATATAGATCAGGCTTATCATTTGCATTTTCCCCTAAGTTTGTTTGGATTGTCTTTCAAGTCTATAATCGTTGGTTGAACACTTGATTCTATGTGGAATATAAAATTTTTTGTTCAAGCTAACAAAAACCTTTGCCCTATTGTTGTTTCTCCATCTAGCAATCAAGTCAAAACAAAATGAAACTCGTTCTGCATATCCAGGGACGATCAATCTATTCTAGGCTAGCTTCAAATTCTTGTGTTTCCTGAGAAGAATCATCAAACTCAAGGAGACAATTTGTCCAACAATGCAGCCTCCTATAGCTCCATAACACACACATACAGGCCACTCCTGTTTAGAAGAATAATATAAGGATTAGTTCATTCTTGCAATAAACGCGAAAAAGAGAGTAATAAGTTCAAAACCACAAGTCCACAACCAAGAACAAGAACCAAGCCCTTGATTGGATTGGATATTGAGATAAATAAACATTACCTGCCATGGCCTTTCCCAGTCAAGTGGCATAGGCCAAGCTCCAAACCAAGCTCCAATAATTGCTCCATATGCTGGAATCAAGATCATATATTCTATATTTCCAGTTGGTCTAAAAGAAACAAAATGATGGATTAACAATAGCAATTGTGTGAATTATCATATAAGGTAACATAACTAACTTACTTAAGTGAAGCAAACACACGATGCCAATCTGTCCATGACGCACCAAAAACTGCAGTCGCTGGAACAACCTATGAAAATCAAAATTATCAGTCAGCATCAAAGGTTTGTTCCAAACTGCAGAGATACACATATGCATGGTAATAACATCGTTACATCTTTCAAGTCATGGACACTGCAGCTTACCGTGAAAACAGACATTAGAAAGGACCAGTGAATTGTTCTTGGTAAAGATCTGCATAAGATAAGAGGTAATACTCATGTCATGCTTTTGCTAATCACGTAATCTCCATGCAGAAGTGAGATCACAACCAGTATTAAGGAGCCTCGTTTGTAATCTGGACAACTGAAAAGTCCAGATTCACAATCAACATATCCACAATTAGAAAGAAACAAAAAAAGATTTAGAGAAACATACTGCATTCCAATAGGTGCACCCAAAGAAACAGCTCCAAAAGCATTTATAAGAGCCCCTATTAAACAAACCAAACCACAGGTATAGAGAAGTCAGAATTCAAGGGATACTGAATAAGTAAGAGCACAAGAGGAAAGCATCAGAAGCTAATACTCATTCACATCTTCAGGTTTAGCTTAACATCTAGAATTTCCAGGTGAACTCATTGAGGAATCAACTTCTTTGAAAAAGTAGCAAACAAAAATTACTAACCGGAAATTAGTCCTACTATGCTTCGCCCAACAGCTCTAAAGTACTGGAAATCAATGAGAAAATCATTAAGAGAGAGTCAAAACAGAGAAGACCAAATCTTTACTATATGAAAGAAACGATTTTTTGGAGCATTACGAGTGTCAAAGTGATGATACTTGTCAATTTCATAAAAGGGAAATGAGCCAAGCACAAAGCAATCCAGTTAAAACGAGAAAGTAAGCTTATTTAAATCCCGGAGATGAACTCACGGAGCATTTCTCTGGGTTTCGTCGGAGCAAGCTGTAGATGATTACCACTATCGGGAACTCAATAATCTGAAATTAAAATTAAAAAAAGGCTAAACTAGCTGAAAAATACCCACTAAAACATGCAACAACCAGATTAATGAAAGAAAGTTTTAGTACCCATAGGAGACGCAGAGTGAGAGATGGATCAGAAATGAGATCGACAAAGTAAATATTATGAATCACCCAGAATCCGACGGCCAGAAATAACCCAGTAATCAAATAGACAGAGAAAGCCCCCAGAGCTGATATCGACACACCAATGGAGATTTCTGGCGTCTTCTTCTTCTTCGCCTCTTTCATGGCTTTTCCTTTCTCGTCGTCTTCTGAATCAGAACGAGTGAAGAAGACGTCAAAAAACTTCCATTACTTTCACTGGGCCTTTCATTCTATATATGGGCCTACAATTATCACTTTATGGGCTTTAATAGGCCCACTAAACTATTAAGCGGTTGCCGGAGATAAATATAATAAGCCGGTGAATCCAGAACTCTCTGGTACATTTGTGCGATTTCTCCATGTTTCCACAATCCCGTGGGTTGTTCCCCGAGCTTTTTCTCGAAATGTCTCGTTTCTCTCGTCGAATTCGTATATATATCTGCTTCCATCGATTCCGATTCTTCATCAACCAGATAAACAAACAACAGAAATCGAAAAACCTCACTTTCCAATTTCAATCAATTACTGAAGCTTTTTTCTAGTAACAATGGCGACGAAATCAGACAAGGCTATTGGAATCGATCTCGGCACTACATACAGTTGTGTGGGAGTTTGGATGAATGATCGTGTGGAGATCATCCCTAACGATCAGGGAAACCGTACGACACCGTCCTACGTCGCCTTCACTGACACTGAGCGGCTGATCGGAGACGCGGCGAAGAATCAAGTGGCGTTGAATCCTCAGAACACTGTCTTCGATGCGAAACGTCTCATTGGAAGGAAATTCTCTGATCCTTCTGTTCAGAGTGATTTGGTTCACTGGCCGTTCAAGGTTGCTTCTGGTCCCGGAGATAAACCGATGATAGTGGTCTCTTACAAGAACGAAGAGAAGATGTTCTCTCCTGAGGAGATATCTTCCATGGTGTTGGTGAAGATGAAGGAAGTCGCTGAGGCTTTCCTAGGTCACACTATTAAAAACGCCGTTGTAACGGTTCCGGCGTATTTCAACGATTCGCAGAGGCAGGCAACGAAGGACGCCGGAGCTATTTCTGGGCTAAATGTTTTGAGGATAATCAATGAGCCGACTGCTGCAGCTATAGCTTACGGTTTGGACAAGAAGGGTACCAAGGCCGGTGAGAAGAATGTTTTGATTTTCGATCTCGGTGGTGGAACTTTTGATGTTTCGCTGTTGACGATTGAAGAAGGTGTTTTTGAAGTGAAAGCTACTGCTGGAGATACTCATCTTGGTGGTGAAGACTTTGACAACAGACTTGTGAACCATTTTGTTGCGGAGTTTAAGAGGAAACACAAGAAGGATATTTCTGGGAATGCGAGGGCTCTTAGGAGGTTGAGGACTGCTTGTGAGAGAGCAAAGAGAACGCTTTCTTCTACGGCTCAGACGACTATTGAGATTGATTCTTTGCACGAGGGTATTGACTTCTATGCGACGATCTCACGTGCGAGGTTTGAGGAGATGAACATGGATTTGTTCAGAAAATGTATGGATCCTGTGGAGAAAGTTCTTAAAGACGCCAAGATCGACAAGAGCAGTGTGCACGATGTGGTTCTGGTCGGAGGATCGACGAGGATTCCGAAAATTCAACAGCTTCTGCAAGATTTCTTCAACGGGAAGGAGCTATGCAAGAGCATAAACCCTGATGAAGCTGTTGCCTATGGAGCTGCGGTTCAGGCTGCGATACTGACTGGTGAAGGAAGCGACAAGGTCCAAGATCTGTTGCTTCTTGATGTGGCGCCGCTAAGCCTTGGAATTGAGACAGCCGGTGGGGTGATGAGTGTGTTAATCCCGAGGAATACGACGGTTCCTTGTAAGAAGGAGCAAGTGTTCTCTACGTATGCGGACAATCAGCCAGGCGTTCTGATCCAAGTCTATGAAGGAGAACGTGCCAGGACCAAAGATAACAACCTTCTCGGGACTTTCGAGCTCAAGGGCATTCCTCCTGCACCACGTGGAGTTCCTCAAATCAATGTCTGCTTTGACATGGACGCGAATGGGATCCTAAATGTGTCGGCGGAGGATAAAACCGCTGGTGTAAAGAACCAGATCACGATCACGAACGACAAAGGAAGGTTGAGTAAAGAGGAGATAGAGAAGATGGTGCAAGATGCGGAGAAGTACAAGGCTGAGGATGAGCAAGTGAAGAAGAAGGTGGAGGCCAAGAACTCGTTGGAGAACTATGCTTACAACATGAGAAACACTATCAAGGATGAGAAACTCGCGCAGAAGCTAGATCAAGAGGATAAGCAGAAGATTGAGAAGGCGATTGATGAGACAATCGAATGGATTGAAGGAAACCAGCTGGCAGAAGTTGATGAATTTGAGTACAAGTTGAAAGAGTTGGAAGGTATTTGCAACCCAATCATCTCAAAGATGTATCAGGGTGGTGCCGGCGGTCCCACTGGAGGTATGCCGACAGATGGTGGTTTCAGTAACTCAGGTGGTGCTGGAGGTCCCAAGATCGAAGAGGTGGACTAAACCGTGTGCAGAGTGTAAAGACAGAAGAGTGGGTTTGGACCATTTGCGAGTCTTTCTTTTGTATTGTGTGAGGGTCAAAGAGTGTTGTTATTCATAGGTGTTTTGCTAGTGAACAAATGGCAGTATTATAGTTGTATGCTTTACATATTTCAGTTGTTTCGAGTAATAAAGAAAGTGATTTACTTTTCTCTCAAGAGTGTGTACCTAAAGTGTTCATTAACAAATCTAGATGAAGTTTGTCTTGTCTTTACTGCATAAACATAACTCTCTAAGAGCATGTTCGTTAGGTTCTTAGTCTTATCTCGCACATATGCTTTTTTATTTTTGTCATAATCTCGCACATATGCCTAAGGAAGTGATTATATATATACATACATATTACTAAGTGTTATATATGTATATATGTGTGTACATATTGATGAATTTTCTTTGCTTGTTGGAGTTGTCTTTGTCCTGAGAAAGGAAGAGGCAGAACAGAGAATTTTGATCTTTGAAGTGTGATAAAGAAAAGTACATATTTGATGCCTAACTTGTCATTTCAGAACAAGTTCTGTCTTGACCCCACCCACACATATATATACACACTGTTAGCTTCATTACAGTAACATCTAAAATCCACGAAGCTCAGACCAGCAATGGGTACAGTATCTGTTGCATTGGTCTTCCTCTTCCTCGTCTTTCTCTGCTTCCCCATCTCATTAGACTCCCAGAAACTCGATCCAGCGACGAGCTTGCTCAACCAAGAACAAGCCCATGGTGCTCTGTTTTAAGTATCTGTTGTTTCTCTTTAGTTTATATGACCAGAGATGTTAAACATCATTATCTCGTTTTTGTTCTTCTTATAGCAGAGTTTATAATCAAAGATATAGGAGGAGAAGATAACAAGAGCATCGACATCTTCCGGGCAGGGAAAGGAGGTCATGGAGTTACAGGTGGAAGAGGCGGCGGAGGCCGGAAAGCATCTCCAAAAAAAAGTAATGCCGCCATGGACCACACGCCAACGTTCTTCTCCGCTGCCTCCATTCTCTTTACTGGTTGTATAATGTTTTCATTAACTTCTTTCAATATCTTACATATTGTACTGAATATTATAAACTTTGAATTCTATTGAAAATTTGGAACGGATACAGAATAACACTTGTATAGTACTACTAGTAATTAGGAGTGACTATATCTAACCAAACCAAGAATTAAGACCCACGAGAAAGATGCTTTCCTCCGCACAAAAAAAAAAGGATTTCGTTTGCATGATAGAGCGTGGAATCATTGTTACATATCTACAGGCCAACTAAGAACACAATCGTTTTCCTCTCTGCAATTTCCCACAACAAAATTAATGGCTAATAGAGAAGTGCTCATTACATCTTCTGAGCTTTTCACTTTGTACTTGAAACTAGAAGAAACCTCTTCCCAAAACCAGAAGAAAGAACACTAAAACTTAGTCCATCAAGAACGCTCCGCTGCAATACCTGATAAAATCCCAGCACATTTTTTTAAGAACAGTCATGAATTTGTTTCCAATGCAGAGTATTTAGTTCGTAAGTAGCAATACCTGTTGCTGAATCTTCCAACAGCGTCTGTAGTATCAAGAAGAGTGTCGCTGCCTTTCTCCAAAGCCATGTAAAGCTCTTTGCCTCTGGTCACACGGGCGATCACCCACACATTGTTCTTAGCTCTGATGCATATTTCCATGTCTTTCTCCTGCCTTTTCGCACGACTTTTTTCTAAATCCACTTCTTCTCTAAGCTTGTTTAGTGCAAGTAGAGACTCCTGCCGTTTTTGAAGTGCATACACTTTTGAGTCCAAAGGTGGCAATAATTGCAGCTAGTAAATCATAGTGTGAAAGACGTTACCTTTGCAAGTGTTGTTACTTTTCCTGAAGGAGAAGCTCTGGATACTTCCATGTCACTATCAACTACTAAGTAACGGTAACCTTTAATATGGTAAGTATTCTCACCGCCCCACCCTCTTGAAATCTTCTCTTCGATTTTCAAAATTCTCAGTGATGCCTGGAAAAGAGATATTGGGTATTTATTAGAAGACACCATAAAAGAGATTCACCAAAAAAGATCGATGGGCGATGTGCTAACATCTTCAATAACTTGCTGTTTCACGGCTGAGACGCTTAAATCACCATTGACAATGGCATTTGTAGGCATGAGAAGAAGTAAGGTGAGACTTTTATGCTGATAAGCAAGGAGATACATTCTTTCTTGTGTCTGCTGAAGCCAGATTGTAGGGATGGCAGAATCAGGTGAACCGCCAGTCTCTAGACCCCAAATATCGGTTATTAAAAACCCATCTTTCCCTTTTGTCCACTTCTCATTTTGTAGTGGCCTAATAACATGATGCATGTCATTACCGTTTCTTGAGTGTAGGGAATCAATTGGGCCAATGGGTGCCAAAGTAGATCTAGAAGAGATTTCAGATGAACCAGACCCTTTAAGTAGATATGACCAAGAACTTGCGTCAGAGGATAAAGCTTTTGAGGTCAACCTCATTACAGCAAATGTAAATAAGTCGACGGTATCATCAGCTGAGAGGGTTGTTGAAACCAGCAGATCTTGAAATAAGATCATAGAGTGACATCGTAAGCTCCCAGCACATGAATCTAGTACTTGAACAAGAGACTGTACATCCAAAAAATGTTCGTCAAATACCAAATTATTATATGTGTAAATAATAGTCCAACAGATTTGGAGACACAAACCTGAACTTCAACTGCGATGTCCCTTGCTAAAGTAAGCATTTGAACAGTTCCACGCTCTCTCAAAGTTTCACGGAAAGTTGGTAGCTGAAGTTTCTTCCCAACAAAAAAATCTGCCCGAAAGAGAAAACCTTTGCATAAGCTATTACATACAAACCAACTTGAGCATTTTACCATGAAGGTAACAAAATATGCGGTTTTGCACAAATCCAAAGGAAGGCATTCGACACAGCAACTTGAGCATTTTACCACAGCAGCAGTCTTCCGAGAGAGACCATTTTTGAAATGCTGACAATTATTGACATAAAATGTATTGAAGCGGGAAACAGAATAAAAAGGGAAAACAGTGGAATATTATATGTACTAGATTTTGTGATAGTAACTTACTGCTTAAATAATCAGTGATGAACGGGTACAACAGTGATCGGGTAAGCCCTCCTGTTGGTTCTTTTTCGATTAATGCCCTAATTGACCCGTGAAACATAACAAAGAGTGAGTGCACTTCTTTAAGCACCCTCCTTAATGCATCAATCCTCCATATTGCTCCTGTCTCCTTATTTTTCTCCACAACCTGCCAATGTCTAGATCAGATCTTGTTCATTGACATTACCGAGACACCATAGGATGCATCATTCATAAAAAAATTCTTGTGCTATAACAAGTAAAGAAAGAGAATGCTTTACCATAACCATCCAGATATCGGGTTCAGCCTCATAGAAAACATGGGAATGTCTTTCTGCTTCTATTACTTCACAAGCTGCCTCCGGAGAGAAAAGTCTGCATTAATAGTCACACCAATCCTCAGAATATGAACAAGATTCACAAACAGCAATGATAAAAACACATCTCACAGGGTTAAAAAAAGAAGAAGAGTATGTAGCAGCTGACCTAGTAAAAGTAATAAGACCTTCACTGAGCCCGATCACTGATAACTGCGTGGATAAGTCTAATTCTGCAGGGTAAAAGAACAAAATCTTGTCTAACTCTTGTCCTTCAGTTTGGCCCCTCCTCAAATCAAATGCGCAAAGTCGAAGGCTTTCATCACCAGAGCTCATGGACGCCATTTCTGGAAGCTTCTACGAACTCATTAAAACCCTAACATACAATGCAAGAACCGCGGCAGAAATCAAGCAAGTTACAATTGTTTGTTTCCAATGTGCACATACTCTGCTTCAAAATCCAAAGTAATTTCAGGGTTTCAAGGGCACATTGGAGATTCAACCACGGCACACAAATCCCAAAGTAAGGTTCCTAAAATAAGAAGACCGAAGAACCCATAAATCGAGAAGACAAAATTTACTACCTTGAGAACGAATTGAAAGAGCAATGTCGAAGGAGTGATCAATCACCTGGTACTGCGAGATAGTTCACCGATCGGAGACAGATTAGTCAACTTTCGATTGGTGGAAAGCTCAAATTTCTAAACTCAAACTCGAATTTGACCGATTGAGCTGAAATCAGTAGAAGAAGAATTACGTGACATTTTGTGTGACAAGGATGAAGAAAGAAGAGCAGGTGGACAGTTAACCACCACGAAATAAACCGGATCGGGTTTATCGAAGAGTCGGGTCAAGATCTGAAACGGGTAACCGAATATTTCTAGATAGATTCTCATCTCTGTCTCTTCTAATTATGTGAATCTCAAATAATTTGATCATTACTCGGTTAATAATTAAACCTTAAGAGATAGTGATAATGACAACATTAATGATCTAAAGTTAAGTTAGATTTGATAATATAATGGGAAGTTAGAGATAACCGGTAAATTAGCTATAGTTGGTCGGTTAGCATTTCTGGTTAACCCCTCAAGTAGCACTACTTGGCTCGCATTCACTAGTCGCGCGACTAATAGAAAAAAAGCTTCTGCGTGTTTGTTGTCTTCCATCGCTCGTTTGTTTCTTCTTCAGCCATATCGGAAAAAAAAAAAAAACCCGATATACGACAAGCCATCCGGTGTTTGTTCCGACAAGCTTCGAATCGATCTGTGATAGGTTTTTCCTTTTTCCGCCTTATGAATCTCTTTTCATTGGATTCAGTTTAACTTGAGTGATGAAACCAATCTCCGTGCTAGAGGTAAATTCAGATACATCGGTTAGGTTTTCTCTTTGTTTTTGCTTCGTACCGATCGATATGATTCTGGGTTCGTTTTGTTTCCAATCTGCAGCTTTTTGATCCCGTGGCTGGTAGGATATTACGGCGTTTGTAGCTCTGGTATGGCTTTGTGGTTCGTTTTGGTTCTGAATTTCGAAATTTTTCGATTTTTTTATCGGAATCTGAGACTAGTTCATCGTTTTATGGTTACAGTTGGCTTGTATAGATTTAGAACGACGAAATCAGCCTTGATTTATTAACTTGTATTTGTTCTTGCACATATGTTTTGAATTTTTCTGCTCCGGAGTTTTGGTGGCCTGTGGTCTGTGTAGAATAGTATCAAGATCATTCCTGTTATCATTTAAGAAAGATGTTGAACAAAGAAACTACTTAAATCTTCTTGAGTATCTAGATTCATTGGGGAAATTCTTGTTCTTAGGATGATTGCAGTGTTTCTGGTTATTCGGCATTTGTGTATCTGAGAATCTAATCTCACTTTTTACGTTATTTATTTTGATATTTGTAGTTATTTGGCATTCCAGTATCTGAACTTTTGCAACTATGTCTGAGCTAAAAGAGCGCCTGCTTCCTCCAAGACCTGCTTCAGCTATGAACCTCAGAGATACTACTGTGACTCGGCCTTCTGCCTCTGGAAGAGCACCCCTTCTTGGAGTTGATGTCTTGGGTCTGAAGAAGCGTGGACAAGGCCTACGGTCTTGGATTCGAGTTGATACTTCTGGCAATACTCAGGTCATGGAGGTCGATAAGTTCACTATGATGCGTAGATGTGACTTGCCTGCCCGTGATTTAAGGCTGCTTGATCCCTTATTCGTGTATCCCTCAACTATCCTCGGCCGAGAAAAGGCTATTGTTGTGAACTTAGAGCAAATCCGTTGTATTATTACTGCAGATGAAGTTCTGCTCCTGAATTCCCTTGACAACTACGTGCTGCGGTATGTTGTTGAGTTGCAGCAGAGACTAAAGACTAGTAGTGTAGGTGAGATGTGGCAGCAGGAAAATGCCCAGTTGAGTAGGAGGAGGAGCAGGAGTTTTGACAATGCTTTTGAGAATTCATCCCCTGATTATTTACCTTTTGAGTTTAGAGCTCTTGAAATAGCCCTTGAAGCTGCTTGCACGTTTCTCGATTCCCAGGTTAGTAACAGTTTAGCTTCGATTTTGTTTCTCCATCTGAAAAAAACAGACTAATGCAGGGCTTGGATTTGACTTCTACACACTAAGTTGATTGAATTTTATTTTTTCTCTATAGGCTTCAGAGTTGGAGATTGAGGCATACCCGTTATTAGATGAGCTTACCTCAAAGATCAGTACACTAAACTTGGAGCGTGTGCGTAGGCTAAAGAGCAGGCTTGTAGCACTGACAAGAAGAGTTCAGAAGGTTCGGGATGAGATTGAGCAGCTAATGGATGATGATGGAGATATGGCAGAAATGTATCTAACAGAGAAGAAGAGGAGAATGGAAGGATCTCTGTACGGTGACCAATCCTTGTTGGGTTACAGGTCAAATGATGGTCTATCTGTTTCTGCACCAGTCTCTCCTGTTTCTTCTCCTCCTGATTCCCGAAGACTTGATAAAAGCTTGAGCATCGCGAGAAGTCGGCATGACAGTGCAAGGAGTTCGGAAGGTGTAACAGAGAATATAGAAGAGCTAGAGATGTTGCTGGAAGCTTACTTTGTCGTCATTGATAGCACTCTAAACAAGTTGACATCGGTACTTTAGTGCTTCCTCCCTTTTTCACTTTCTGTCTTTCTTCGTTAGGAAGCTTTAATCATATGTATCCCTCTCTTTACTTTACTTTACTTTACAGTTAAAGGAGTACATTGATGACACTGAAGATTTCATTAACATTCAACTGGTAATACCTCAAAAATTCTACCTTTTCCATCTTCCACAACTGAATGTTAATCCAGTTTGAGAAACCATATGAGTCTTGCTGAAACTGTCATCAATATATGCAGGATAATGTACGGAATCAGCTGATCCAGTTCGAGTTGCTTCTCACGACTGCAACTTTCGTTGTAGCCATATTTGGGGTAGTTGCGGGGATATTTGGGATGAACTTTGAGATAGACTTCTTCAACCAGCCAGGTGCATTCAGATGGGTACTTATAATTACTGGAGTATGTGGCTTTGTTATATTTTCGGCATTCGTCTGGTTCTTCAAGTACAGAAGACTCATGCCTCTATAAGAGGACATGAATGTGCCCCCCACCCCACAAAGTAGACATCAACTTCTATTGTTGTGTTGCTTACATATTAATGATTTGTTTCCTTTTCACAATGGAATCTTCAGCAATTTTATCATAGGCATTGTCAATCCAAATGTGATAGAATCTTTTGTCTTTTTATTAAAAAACAGATAACCAAACATGGTGCATCAAAAAATATGAAAGTAAGAACAAGCTTGAATCTAAACCACAAAGTTTCAGACTCTTTTTACTAAGTTTTAACTCGTGTGGGTAAATGAGTATCAGTGTGCAAGTACTTGAGACAGACTACTTGTTAGCTGATGAAGACGATGAGAGGCGGGCTTTTCGAGCTTTATCGGCCTTGTCCATGTAATCTTGGTGAGATTGATGCTTTGACCCTAAGAGAAACCATAGAACTTCAACCAATTAGCCCAAACAGAGAGCAGATGTAACAGATTCAGGTGCTATAGGAATGTGAAAATGTGATCCATTTTCATCAGTTCTCAGAAACCATTTACTTAAGTGTATAAGATATAATGTCTCTCTCATTTTGCAAGAAGATCCAAATCAGAATCTACCAGCAATCAAAATCATATATCATCTTCCTATCAGAGTTTCCTTCAATTCTCTTCTAAACCCATATCCATCCACGAGAAAGGATTTGGTTATAAAATTATTAAACGATGAGAGAGATCGGACGGACCTTGAGTCATCACATACCAAGGAACTCCGAAGATGATGGTGACGATTCCGATCCCAACCAAGACGTGCTTCCTTTCACCACTGTAAACGTAATGTTCCATTTTAGCTCTGAATCCTCCGCCTCCGGCCATACTTGCAGCACCACCGTTGTTGGTCTTCGTCTCATTTCCCATTCTCAGATCTCTCTATGTTTTTAACTTACCTTTCCGATCAACAAACAAGGTTTATCGGTCCATCCATCAGAGAATGGGGGAGGTTTTAGAAACATGTATAAATGGGCCTTAATTTAGGCCCATCCACATTAACTTTCTTTATGTTTATATAATATTACAGTTTGAACCCCATACTTTCTTTGATTACAATTTTACCCCAAGAAAGAGAGTGAATTAGATATAGAAGAGAGCGCTATAATAACTCTTCGCGCCTCGTCAAAAAACGCGGTAAATACGCTCCTTATCAGAAGTTAGTTAGTGTATGATTATTAACCAACTTTCACAACGGTCCAATCTCAAGGAGTATTCAATCATTCATCCGCCATCTATGGTACCAAGTAGCAACCCTCAATTTCTTCTTTCCCAAGTTTCTTCGAGCCCTAGACTTTCCTATATCATTCTTACACTTTTCCACATTTATTACAAATCACTGTTAAGTATTTGTCGCCGATCCTTGCTTAGCTCTTTATTCCCAGTTTTTATCTCATATAATCGAGATCTGTGGTGATGTTAGGTTAAATTTTGCATGAAGCCTATGATTGTTTCTCCGAAAAATGTACAAATCCCAATACATTAGCGGCCAGAGAGAAAAATTCGTTAGGTAAATAACCAAACTCGCAATATTTTTCTATGATTTCTTCAGATCTAGGAAAGGTTTAACTTATAATTACAGGTTAGATGATATAGATTCAAGTTCTTCTCCTGCGACTGGAATGATGATGCAGCGAAACTGTTTCGGATTTAACCTAAAGAACCGAGGAGGTGAAAAGAAGAAAGCATCCAAATCTTTCAGGGAAGGAGTCAAAAAAATCAGATCAGAAGGTCTAATAACCATCGGTAAATCGGTAACAAGAGCAGTTTTTCCAGAAGATTTAAGAATAACCGAGAAGAAAATCTTTGATCCTCAAGACAAAACACTTCTCATATGGAACAGATTGTTCGTCATTTCGTGTATTTTAGCTGTCTCAGTTGATCCATTGTTCTTCTATCTTCCCATTGTCGATAATTCCGGAAGCAGCTGTATAGGGATTGACACGAAACTAGCTGTTACAACGACGACCCTTAGAACCATCGTTGATGTCTTTTACTTAACTAGAATGGCTCTTCAGTTCCGAACAGCTTATATAGCTCCTTCCTCTCGTGTGTTTGGTCGTGGTGAGCTTGTGATTGATCCTGCAAAGATCGCGGAACGGTATTTAACCCGTTATTTCATCGTCGATTTCCTAGCAGTGCTTCCTTTACCGCAGGTAAAACATCCTTTGATAGTTACTAAGAATATTGGATATTTTAGGGTTAATTTTGATGTTTCATGTGGATATTACAGATTGCGGTATGGAAGTTTCTTCACGGGTCTAAAGGATCAGATGTGCTACCGACGAAAACGGCATTGTTGAACATTGTAATCGTGCAGTATATTCCGAGATTCGTGAGGTTTATTCCGTTAACATCAGAACTGAAGAAAACTGCTGGAGCTTTTGCTGAAGGAGCGTGGGCTGGTGCTGCTTATTATCTCCTCTGGTATATGCTTGCAAGCCACGTAAGCGTCATTATGTATATATATAAGGTTTTGAGACATTTATTTATCATTGTGTCACTTTCTCACTTCAGAAACACATTTTCGCAGATAACTGGAGCGTTTTGGTACATGTTGTCAGTGGAACGTAACGATACTTGTTGGAGATTTGCTTGTAAGGTCCAGCCAGATCCGCGACTCTGTGTTCAGATTTTGTATTGTGGGAGTAAATTTGTGAGCAATCGCGAAACTGAATGGATCAAAACAGTCCCTGAGCTTCTCAAGAGCAATTGTTCCGCTAAAGCAGATGATTCAAAGTTTAACTATGGGATATATGGTCAGGCAATATCTTCAGGCATTGTATCATCAACAACATTTTTCTCCAAATTCTGTTATTGTCTATGGTGGGGTCTTCAGAATCTCAGGTAAGGCCTTGAAATCAATGAATAAACCGTTGTTAGCTTATGCAGTAATTTTGATAACTTTGGTGTTTTCTAACAGCACGTTAGGTCAAGGACTGCAAACAAGTACATTTCCAGGAGAGGTTTTGTTTTCCATTGCGATTGCTATAGCTGGTCTTCTTCTTTTCGCGCTTCTTATTGGGAATATGCAGACTTATCTTCAGTCACTTACTGTTCGTCTCGAGGAAATGAGGATTAAAAGACGCGACTCGGAACAGTGGATGCATCACAGGTCACTTCCACAAAATTTGAGGGAAAGAGTCAGACGCTATGATCAATACAAATGGTTAGAGACAAGAGGTGTAGACGAAGAAAACATAGTTCAGAGTTTACCTAAGGATCTCAGAAGAGACATCAAACGCCATCTCTGTCTAAATTTAGTTAGGAGGGTAAGATTTTAGAATCAGAATGCTAAAATTGTTTCAGATACTAACTAACTAACTAACCAAGTGTTCTGTTTCTGCAGGTTCCTCTGTTTGCTAATATGGATGAAAGATTACTTGACGCGATCTGTGAGAGATTAAAGCCGAGTCTTTACACGGAAAGCACTTACATTGTGCGTGAAGGAGACCCGGTTAACGAAATGATGTTCATAATCCGAGGCCGGTTAGAGAGTGTAACAACAGATGGAGGACGAAGCGGTTTCTTCAACAGAGGGTTATTGAAAGAAGGAGACTTTTGTGGTGAAGAGCTTCTGACATGGGCACTTGACCCTAAAGCAGGCTCAAACTTACCTTCTTCCACAAGAACAGTGAAGGCTCTAACTGAAGTAGAGGCTTTCGCTCTTGAAGCTGAAGAGCTGAAGTTTGTAGCAAGTCAGTTTAGGAGACTTCATAGTCGACAGGTTCAACAAACATTTAGGTTTTACTCTCAGCAATGGAGAACTTGGGCTTCTTGCTTCATCCAAGCTGCTTGGCGTCGCTATTCAAGAAGGAAAAACGCTGAACTGAGGCGGATAGAAGAAGAAGAAGAAGAAATGGGTTATGAATATGAGTATGATGAAGAAAGTGACAAGAGGCCTATGGTTATCACAAGAACTGAGTCTTCTTCTAGACTGCGTTCAACGATATTTGCATCAAGATTTGCTGCTAATGCATTGAAAGGGCACAGACTAAGGAGCTCAGAGAGTTCAAAGAGCTTGATGAATCTGCAAAAGCCTCCGGAACCTGATTTTGATGCTGAATAATCCAATTCTTGATCAGAGGCCAACATCAGAATAACAGAACTATATAATTGATTTATACACATAAATGCTCTATATATAACGTGTTTCAGAAACTTCAGAAACTGTTAGGTTTATCTACACGAGAGCCAATGATCCTTCAAAGATCTGCATTGCATTTTTAACAGTTCCTATGTCGATATCTGCTAGTTTTCCAGTCTTCGAAGCAATAATTACACAGTTACTCTTCTCTTCTGCATACGGTACAAAGAGCTTCCCTTTCTCTTCTGAAGAGAACAAGCCAATACTGGAAGAAAAAGAATCACACACACACACACACACAAACACATGTCAGTTCTTGAAAACATTTATCACTCTTTATCTTAATCAGATATCTTCACCTGGGTTTGTCTCGCGCATTAGCTAGTTGAATCGCAGCAGTGTTTGTAGCGATAACTCCAGCAGAATCGTTTATCAGAGCAGCCAACTAAGTAAGATCAAGAAAATGAATCAAAGTAAGATCGGTGAATTCAACTTTGTTCATACTAAATACAGACAGATAAGCATACACACCTGTCCTGGTGTTGTGATGAACACTATAGATGTATCATCACCCACAAAATCTTCAACTTTTTCTCTTTCTTTCTCATGTGGAATCACAAAGACCGGCTTGAATCCCCTGGCATTGTTCACAATCATATCTCAGAGAATTTCAATCTCAGCAGAAAATTCACATTTTGAAGGTGTTTATTTAATTACCTTATACCCTTTATTATCTTAGCCCATTTTTCAAGTGACAGCAAACTATCACTATCTCCTTTTGATTGCATTGATGCTTTAGAATCCGATTCAATCCCATGAATCACTATAAACTTCCCCGTGGCTGCTCCAGCATTCCTATACTTCTCAGCCACAACCACTTTCAATTTCCGTGAAATCGATACTCTAAGTGGCAACACAGGAGTCCTTGGAACACTCCTAAACGGTCTTCCTAACCAATCTTCCATCTGATCATACCTGAAACCATCAACAGTCAATATAGACTGGCGATAAAAAAATCTGCAGTTTCTTCGGGTTCAAGGAACTCACATGCTATAGCCTAATTCTGAAAGGTTGGCATTTTCTGCGGTAAAGGTCTCAGACAGCATCAGACCAGCTCCTGCAGAGTTAACATTCGGGTAAATGTAACTAACCCTGTCTCGAGCCGTTGTCATGAACAAGAACGCTGCGTGGCCTAACCCTGCGAGCTTCGTGGACAGAATCATGTCATAGTACCTTCCCTGAAACATGACTTAAAAGAAAAGTTAACTAAGCAGTCTGATAAAGGAAAGATATAAAAAAGGTTGAAATGTTTTAAAGTTACAAACTTTGAGGATTCCGATCATGTCTGTGTATTCAGCAGGTTCAGGCCAATGATCATCTGGATCATACACATTTGCCCATCTCACGTTTTTGTTTAATTCGTATGTTTGTTTTCCTCTATCAGTCGTTAATATATCTACCTGAACACCAGGATACCTTACAAAAACAACAAGAGACGTACGGACAATGTTCTGCATTACAAATTTAAGGTTTTTAAACAAATGTCAAATCGGAGACAGAGTCTTATACTTTTACCTGTCTTTGATTAGCTGAATTGTCGGGAAAAAGAGTAAATTCTCGTAAACGCCACCGGAGATAACGCAGCAACATCGTCTAACATCTCCTCTGATTTTCAACGGCAAAGAAGCAAGCTCGACGGTGTAACCCTTGGGAAACTTCAAGAACCCGTAAGGGTTATCAGGATTATCGGGTGGTCGTGGATCCTCATCTTGTTTTCCGTCGACAAACAAGGACCCGTATTCGTTTTCCGGGTCTTCACCGCTATCAAACGGGTCGAGCCACGGGTTATTCTTCTTCTTGAGATTGACCGAGACATCGGAAGATCTCGAAGTAAGCCGAGTTTGAAAGTTGAGGAAGACAAGTTGTTTGGAGGTCGAAAACGGCGGCGTTTTGAAGAATGGGGAAATGGGTTTGGGTAACAGAGGAAGTGAAGCCATTGGAAGGTTTTTTGAGCCAAAGAAAGAAAAGTTTGGATTTTAAAATGTTGGGAAAGAAGAGAGATCTCTTTAGGAGGAACTTAGGATAAGTGGGTCCCTTTTATGGCTATTTTCCGACCAGAGAAGAAGAAACTTAGCATTTAATTTCTTTTTTTTTTTTTTGTTATGGCAATTTCAGAAATTATTCTCTGTTCGATTAATTAAAACTTTTGTCTTGACATGGGTTGATAGGCACGAGCAAACATTCCTAATCTCAGAACTCAGAAGCATTAATCAACTGATTAAACAAGTAAACTTTACGGAACTTTACAGTAAGTAATTAAACCATTTTAGTTGTCGGGTCGAGCAATAAGTACCCGTTTTAATTGTCGGGTCGAGGAACAAAAGATCAGAAAAAAAGCAGAAGAACCAAACGATGACGTGTTAAGCATCTCGTTTCTCTTTCGATTTGATTCGTTTCGTCCTCGATCAGAAAAAACTTCTTCTTTTTTTTTTTAATTTTTTTTCTGGGTTTTCTGAAGTCAAAAGGTTTCTTTTTTCTTCACTGTTCCAAGATTTTCTTTTGTGTTCTTTTCCTTAGTTGCTCATTGTTTCTAAATTTACTTTTCTCGTGAACACAACAAGCAACTTGGCTTGGTTTTGCTAGAAGATTCCTAAAAATGAGATATTTAGCGGTGACAAAAAGTTTCATTTGGGTGCTAATGTAGCTGTAAAGTCTAGGCCTTTCGTTATATAATCTCTTGAATTAGGTTACGAAACTGTTGAAAATAGCTATTTTGTTGTTGTTGTGATCCAGTGATAGATCTGTGAAATCAAAAAAGCATTTTCTTTGTGAGAATCGGGTCAATGTCGGTTCCGCCTCGATTCCGGTCCGTAAATTCCGATGAGCGAGAGTTCCGATCAGTTCTTGGTCCTACCGGGAACAAGCTGCAGAGGAAACCGCCGGGGATGAAACTGGAGAAGCCGATGATAGAGAAGAAGACCATCATCGAGTCAAAAGATGAAGAAACGAAGAAACCAACTACTCCGGCTTCTCCAAGGACGACTTTGAAGCAATGCTCGTCTCTTTGCTCTTCGATTTTGAGAAAGAACAGTGCCTCGATGACTGCTTCGTATTCCTCTGATGCTTCGTCTTCGTGTGAGTCATCGCCTTTGAGCGTGGCTTCTTCTTCGAGCTGTAAGAAGGTTATGAGGCGAAGCGGGTCTGTCTCTTCTACAAGGAAGCTGAGTATTGGGAAAGAAGAGGACAAGGTTGCTGGTGATTGCTTCGCTGATGGTCGTAGAAGGTGTGCTTGGATCACACCTAAAGCTGGTAAGAATCCATTTTTCATCTATTTCATACTGCGAGAGCGTTTGACTTTAGATGTATTCAAAATGTATGAAACGAGCAAGAATGTCAGTGTGAATGTGAGATTGAGTTTGACCTGATTTTATGAATCAGTGAAGAGACGATGAAGTTCTTCTCTAGCTAGTTGAATCAAATGGTACTGATTTGAGACAAGGAGCTAGTGTCTTTTGTTTGATCTAATTATGTGCTTCTGTATGTGGATGCTGAAGTAACTCAATGGTCAACAAAATGCTACAATTGCTCTATACTTTGTTCAGTGATCATTTGCTATGTTGCATAACCTATGTAGTAGCTTGTCCTGAGGTTCTCTTATAGATATTTAACTTCTCAGTGTCCATGAAATCTAGCTGAAGGATGTTTTGATTAGCTGATAGATCCACTTCGTTTATGATTTTAGTATAAACCAAGCAGAGTTTTCTGGATTTTCTATGCGAATGAGCATAAATGTTTCCATGCCAAGAGGCACTATCCATTATTCTTTGTTGCTCTCTCATGTTTCATATCTTTCTCTGCTGTAAATCGACTAATAATGTGGTGTGTTTTTCCTTCTTGTAAAGACCCGTGCTATGTTGCTTTCCACGACGAAGAATGGGGAGTTCCTGTAGATGACGACAAGTATGTGGCACCCTCAACTTTTTTCCTTTTATCAGAGATGCTCTCTGTAGTTATAAGAGTCTCTTACCAATTGGTTAAATTGTGTAGGAAGCTTTTCGAGTTATTATGCCTCTCTGGTGCTCTAGCCGAACTCTCCTGGACCGACATTCTCTCCAGAAGACAGTTACTCAGGTAACCAAACCAAGTTCTTAAGTAATCCGAATCTTGAAATCGCAATGTAAACTTCTGATGCCTAGCCAGTAGCTCTGATCTCAAATTTGCTTAACTTGCTTCTTATTTGAAACAGGGAAGTTTTTATGGACTTCGATCCAGTTGCTGTTTCTGAAATGAATGACAAAAAGTTAACAGCGCCCGGCACTGCTGCCATTTCCTTACTATCAGAGGTAAAGATACGGTCAATCCTCGATAACTCACGCCATGTGCGCAAGGTATAGCATAACATAGACTCACACTTACTGATCTAAATTACTCAAAACTTGTGACATTTCTAGATATAATAATCTTTCTGGCTGTTAAATGTTAATTTCATTCAGATTATAGCTGAATGCGGATCATTTAAGAAGTACATGTGGAACTTTGTGAACAACAAGCCTACACAGAGCCAATTCAGGTATCAGCGCCAAGTCCCCGTGAAGACATCGAAAGCAGAGTTTATCAGCAAAGATCTTGTACGCAGAGGCTTTCGCAGCGTTAGTCCAACAGTTATTTACTCCTTCATGCAAGCAGCTGGACTGACGAATGATCATCTCATAGGGTGCTTCAGATTCCAAGACTGTTGCGTAGATGCAGAAACAACAACAACAACAACGAAGGCGAAGAAGAAGAACGAGAGAGAGGGTGATAAATAAGAGCAATCCTGAAATAAGCTAATTAACGTATTTGAGTACCACCATGTTGTTTGCTTTTGCTTTCCAAGATTAATTGACACAAGGAGGTTTTGTTACCGTGAAAAAAAGTGTTCTCTTTTCTTTTTTCTTTTGGCGTTGTATAGATGCTTCTTGGTTATCGGCTTATGCACATATAGTAGAATGTTGCGATGAACTCTTAGACCGGACATATTTGTGTGGATCTACGTATTAATTCAGCTTATTTGACCTATATAAGTAATGCTTTTCAAACTTGAAGAGAAAAATACTTTTGATTTTATTACCCGAGTTGTAAAAAACGATTCCTGAGAAATAAAGGCCGTGCATTGTGGACGTCGAATTCATCTTTGGCATATTATTTTATTCTTTTAATTTGTTGTGGGCTTTTATAATCGAAACCAATGGGTTGGTTGGTATGTTATATATATAGCCTATGGTAGTAGGCAGCTTAGTCAAATCACATGAGATGTTTTTTCTAATCCTTCGCTCTTTGGTCTTTTGTTTCCTCAACTATTATTTTTCTTATAAATTTGATAAATGGATACTAATTAAGTTTCATTGAATCTTGATATGTCAACAAAACAAAAAAAAAAAAATCTTGACATGTAAACAAGATTTACGTGTCGATTATAAAAAGAAACAGAGAAGTATAGAGAGTGTCGATCGTCTTTATTTTCGCGTATAGAGAGTGTTGTCTATTGACTATCGAATCTCACCAAAACACGGGAGTGAATGGATCCCACTTGTTGTCATAGATCATAACCACGCGCACTTCCTTGTGGGCTCCATCTTTTATCTTTACCGTTAAGTTGGCTACTTGGCCCTGTTTCTAAATCTCTTCTTCTTTTGTTAATATTTTTTGGATACTAATAAGTAGTAGTATATTACTTAGGGGATATTATTATTTTGGTAGAGAACTTTTCTATTACGTATTTACTTATTGCTATTACTAACTGTTAAGCTGAAGACAAGAAATTGAAAGTTTTTTACGTATCCTTTATTGTTAATTATCTGATTTAGCTTTTCCTACGCATTTACTTCCCTAATTAACACATAGACGAAACAAAATAACTTGGAGTTTCTTAATTATTGTATACTAAAGTTTAATTTATTGGAGAGAAAGAGGGAATTGTGGTAATGTCGAAAAAAAAAAAGAGGGAATTGTGGTAATTCTTTATAAACAGTGTTTTATTTCTTTTATCATAAAGATACATTTTCGAAAATCGACACATGTAGATTGCCAAGGCATTTAATTATCAAGTTCAAAAAAATACGGTACTAAGAAAAAAAATACAGTACTACTACTTTCCACCTTCCATTATTCCCTAGAACAACCCTTTCTTTTTTCTTTAATTATCATTTATTAAAATTTTCTCCACAAAATAAAAACTCTCTCTCTCAATATATAAGATGTTTTACACCTTTTCATTTGTTACATTATATAAGATTTTCTTTAATTTCAATGCATGATTTATATTAGTTTAATAGTAATTTTTAATTATTTTAATTATACAGTATTTTCTTATATTGGTTGAATTTTCATAAATGAAAAAAACATTTATTATTTCTTAATCTCTGTGCTTTTAGTCCAAACATCTAATAAAATGGGACAGAAGGAGTATAATTTTGGCATTTGCATTAATGAAAAAAGAAAACTATACAGATATATATTCATGTGTTTGGTCAAATGTCAAAGAATCTCATTAAAATGTGTTGTATGTTGGCATTATAAACAGAGAGCGAAGAGACGTAACAGATAAGCGATGGCGGGTGCAACAGCAAGTGGCGGCAACAGAACTTTCTCAAACTCTCCTCTCATAGAAAACTCTGATTCTAATCAGATTGTTGTCCCTGAGGTTTCGGTTTCTTCTTGTCTCTTTTCTTTTTTGGCTCCCACACTGTGTTATTTCTCAACTTCGAGTCTCTCCACATTTTATGCTTAATCAGTCTTGTTAGTCTCCATGAATTTGATTTGCAATCCCTTTTGTGTATCCTTATCCGCTGAAACTCCCATTAGTAAACACATGTCTATTATGAATTTGATAACTGCCCATAAAGTTTGATTGACTTCAAGGGGACAAGAGTATCCTTAATTAAGGATTCAATTATATATGACTTGTGGTTTTGATGTTTGTGGTCTATATAAATAAATGCAGAAGAAGAGCTGGAAAAACTTCTTCTCATACTTAGGCCCTGGATTTCTTGTCTCGATTGCTTACATTGATCCTGGAAACTGTAAGATTCTCTTTATAGATATACATAAAGTGTAACACTTTAAAATTACGCAGAAAGACACAAGCTATGCATTTTTGTTGTTGTTGTTACAGTTGAGACCCTTGTTTGAAAAATCGCTAGGCGCTAGTCGGGCGCTCGGCATGGGCCTAGCGATTAATCGGAAAATCGGATTAAAATCGGGGATTAATCAGGGATTAGTTTTAGGGTTATTTTAATATTTTTAAAATATATTAATCCAATATTGTAAAAATTTATGATTTTTATTACAAATTTATGATTTTTATTAAAATTTGAACACAAGTTATTGTAAAACATCACAAACTCTCCATTCAAATGATTGAATAACAAAAATAAAAAGTTTTTTTACATGCAATCTAAAAAATAATCGGGGTATATAAGATTAGGCGGAAAGTAATCGGATTAGGCGGAGAATAATCGGGTTACTGATTTTTTAGGGATTAGTCATTAATCGAGGCGGATAGGGTGGGCCTAGCGATTAAGCGGTGAGTAATCGGGGCTAGGCGGGGATTTTTAGAACAGGGGTTGAGACTGATCTGCAATCAGGAGCTCAATACAAGTATGAGGTGCGTTACACAATCTGTTTAATGAAGCTTTACGTTTTTTCTGTCTTTGTTGATTTTGATTAAATCGTGTCTTAGTTACTTTGGATCATATTGGTGGCATCATGTGCAGCTTTGGTGATTCAATCTCTCGCTGCAAATCTCGGTGTTGTCACTGGTTTGTTTAATCCTAAATACGACCAACCTCTTTATTCTACTATAGTCTTTGTATACATCAATCAATGGTGATCTTTCTCATAGTATCTTGAAATGTTGACTTTCTGACCGCAGGAAAGCACTTAGCAGAGCATTGCAGAACTGAATACTCCAAAGTTCCAAACTTTATGTTATGGGTAGTTGCAGAAATCACTGTAGTAGCTTGTGACATTCCAGAAGGCATGAGTTTTTTTCTGCTGCAGTGATGATGTTGATGGGAGTCTTCTCATTTTGTTATAATTTATCAAGCAAATGCGAAATGATGAATCAATCATTGGTTTTCTTGGTGTACAGTTTGTAATGCCTCAGATTTGAGTCCAGAAGATCGAGAAAGTTGCCAAGATTTGGACTTAAACAAAGCTTCATTTCTGCTACGGGTAAATCCATGACTCCTATATGTTTTGCTTCAGTTTCTTGCACAACTTTATACATTATTAAAGGATATATATAGATATATACTTATTCTGGTCTCACAGAACGTTGTAGATAAATGGAGCTCAAAGCTATTTGCAATTGCGTTGCTTGCTTCCGGTCAGAGTTCAACAATAACCGGAACATATGCTGGACAATACGTTATGCAGGTGATCAAACCCCATACAAATGCTCCTAAGTCCTAACTTGTGACTGAATCTTGTTCATGACCTTATTTTCCTCAGGGGTTTCTTGATTTAAGACTAGAACCATGGCTCAGAAACTTGCTAACAAGATGCTTGGCTATAATCCCAAGTTTGATCGTTTCTCTGATAGGTGGCTCAGCTGGAGCCGGAAAGTTAATCATCATTGCGTCGGTATAACCCCAAATAACTTACATCCAATCTCTGAATCATATATACATTACTAACATTAATTATCTTATCATTTTGCAGATGATCTTATCCTTTGAACTCCCATTTGCTTTAGTACCACTTCTCAAATTCACAAGCAGCAAAACCAAAATGGGCTCACACGCCAATTCACTTGTGGTAATATATTCAACTTCACTTCTGTTATATATTCATAACATCAATCGAAGGAAAGAAATCTAATTTATACCGCGGGTTTTGTGTAGATTTCATCTGTGACTTGGATCATTGGTGGACTTATTATGGGTATAAACATTTACTATCTAGTAAGCAGCTTCATCAAGCTGCTTCTCCATAGTCACATGAACCTTGCAGCCATTGTTTTCTTAGGACTTCTTGGATTCTCAGGCATTGCCATTTACTTAGCAGCCATTGGTTACCTTGTCCTCCGTAAAAACAGAGAGTCCACACATTGTAAACATGCAGTTACCTAATAGAGTAGCCGTTACAAGAAACTCTAATTGAAGAATTATAACATTTCAGATAGAAGAAACAATGTTTACTTGTTGTGATCTATTACATAGAATAAATATGAAGTTGCTTACTTAATGTAATCTATTACATAGATCAAACATGAAGCCTTGTCCACAAAATCCATCAAACGGTTTGGCTAAAGAACTGATATACAGATTCATAACCAGACAAGACAATTTGAAACAGAGGTTTCACATAACCAGAGACAAACAAACTAGACTTTTCTTTATTTTTCTAAAACAAAAGCAATTTCAATGGCTAAGGATACTTAAGGGGGGTACTTGAGGGAATAAATAAGCTTTTCAAGACCCGATCTTTATGCCATTTTCGATGGATCCTTGCGATGTTGAAGGAGGAGGAGGAGCAAGATGGCCTTTCTCTTGTAAGCTCTTGACTGTGTCGTAGAGGCTTTGCTTGGTGGATGTGAACTCTAAGCCCAAGTCTTTAATCTTTTGGTTAGTGAATTTGTATGGCTTGGCTCTAGGGTTGTTCTCATCCTTGCACCTGAAAACATTATTACACAAACCAACATCGTTGTCACTTAACACAATCTTTTATATTGGTTAATTACTTAGCACAATCTGTCTTGAACATTATTTACTCTAAAGCGATTGATTTGTCTAATTAAAGTTAGACAAAGAGCAAAGACTAGCTCCACTACATCTACCGTTTTTTACAATAAAACATATCCATCAACATTATATATTGTGAATATATATATCTTATGGTTTCAAATATGTCCACGTGAGCGGTTGGTGACGAGATGACTAGGACTTATGGTGTGAGTTGTTGGGTATACCAACCATCACCACAAACGATCAAAAAAGGATCATGGGACCAATTCACACCCATCATTGGTTTTATATCAAACTAGGAGATAAAAGAATCTATTTGTCAAAAAAAGAGAGAGGAACGAAAAAGAAAAAAAAACATTCGTTTTGTAAGAACGAAAAAAGAATTATATTATATTGAATAAGCTAAATATATGGGGAGATTAGCAAAGACACTATATAAGGGACGTCACATTATCGTCATAATTAGCCTCAAGTATTCATATGTTTACTGATTAGTGTTTGTGACGACTTATTGTTATTGATATACACTAATGAGTGCATGTGTCACATGACACATGTGTGTATGTGATTGTATAATAACCGGTCATTGTCTTTATTAAGCTACACAAGAGCTAACATCGTTGATTAAAAGACGTTATTTGCTTTGTTTTTTACAGAAAGTATTGACTCAAGTGGAAATTCTATGAGGTGACGAGGGGTCATTGGTGCATGGCTGCCAAGTGTATGAGTATTCATCAAAACTGATACTTCATACTACTTATATAGATTTTTTTTTCTGATACTACAAGTATCACACAAATTAAATTAGATTTTCTCGTTTAAGAAAATTAAATATATTGGACCACAATGCTTGATATGAACCTTTACCTTCAAGTTGGTTTCCAAAGATACAAGCGGAAATAATTGTACCACAATACTTGATATGAGCTTTCGTTTCTAACTTTCTAGATATAAACTAACCCTAAATTAGTAAATACTACTTTTTTGTTCAAAAAATTAGTAAATACTAAGCGACATTAATTAGTCAGAAAAGATTAATGGGCTAAAAGCAAAGTTCACTTACTTGGTCGGAAGTGGATACTCCGGGAATAACTTAGCCAGAATCTCAACAACTTCGCCACGGTGAAGAGCGCTCTCGGCTAGGAGATAACGTCCGGAGGCCGACGGTGCCTCATAGACCAGAACATGAGCCAGTGCGACATCGCGAACATCCACATAAGCCTGAGTCAAATTAGCATAAGTCTTAGCTGAGCCGGTTAGATATTTAAGGACGTGGTAAAGGCTGGCGTTGATCGTCGGCTGTAACGGCGGTCCAAGAACCAGCACCGGATTTAACACCACCAAGTCAACACCTTTCTCCTTTGCCGTCTCCCACGCCGCTTGTTCCGCCACCATCTTGCCGTAACAATACCAATTCTACAAAACACTTCCAAATATTCAATAGACCTAACATCAACAAATAAATATATTTTCACATTAAAACCAAAAAAAATAAAATTATCTGATTGAACTAATGCTACTGTGTTTATTTGCAAAGACAAAGATTCAAAAGATTAAGGTTTTTAAATATTTTTAAGTTTTAGTAAAAACATGTTTGTAAAGTGAAAAACACAAGAAAAGAGTGTTAAAAGGCTTAATTAGCAATGCAAAAAAATTAAAAAACCAAGCAAGACCTTGGTGTTTTTGCAGAAGTCAAGATCACTCCAACAACTTTCGTCAACGACAGCCTCAGGGTCACGGTTCGGGTCCATGTAAACGGCACCAATGGAGGAGGTGATGACCACGCGCTTGACCTTGGCTTCAGCCGCAGCATTGATTACAAACTTGGCTCCGTTCACTGCCGGTTCCACCATTTGTTCCTGAAATTTTTTACACATTTAAAAATAATTAAATACCTCATTTCACACAATAATTTTCTTTGATTTTTTTTTTTTTTTTGGTTTTATTGTTAAATTATTAAATAAAATATTATGTGATTTGCCTTTTAACAATATAATTTCTAACCATCTTTGCTGATTTGTTTTCAACGCCTAAAATTAAAAAAAATACTTGACCAAACTAGAATTTCATTGAAGAATAAAAGATTGCTAGAGATTTCAACCTTTTAATCAGGCGATATCCCTTTGTGAAATAGATTAAAAAATAATGTTCATGATTAAAAAGGAGGGATTCGATAAGGACAGGGTCTAATAAAAAAACGACAAAAACTCTAAATGAAATCAGCTCCACTACTATTTTTATTTAACGTAGGTCCTTAACTTTATTCGATTCTCTCTGTAAGGCACAGAAAGTGCGAAAAAGACAATAGAAAACCCCAGGAAAAAATACTCACCGGATCGTCGGTGACCGGAGAAGCCGTGTGAAAGACGCCGTCGCAACCATCAACCGCCGCCTTGAGAGCCTCGTAGTCCTGAAGATCTGCTTTGCACAGAATCAGTCTCTCCTTTGCTCCTTCTAGTTCTCTCAAATGTGTGTTCTTCGGATCATCTGCAAGAAAATTAATTTAAAAAAAAGTCCAAATTGTAAATAAAATAAGCTCAAGAACTTAGATAATTATCGCAAGTGACTGACCAAAACGTATATAAAAATGGACCTACCTGGATTCCGTACGGTTCCTTTGACTGTGTAACCTCTCTCAAGAAGTATCTTAACAATCCAAGAAGCGATGTATCCACCTGCTCCGGTGACACAGACGGTTTTTCCGGCCGGTGATGCTTCGTCGACTGGCATATTTCCCGGTGGTCGAAACTCGAAAGTAAGAGCTTCGTTTCTGGCAAGAAGGCTTTCGAGAGACTATGAATGCTCAGTTACAAATTGTGTTACGTTTCTCGTATATAAAGACTGAAAAAAGTATGTTATCCTTCAAAATTACACACTTGCCAAGTTCACCTAACAATGGTAAATGAGTTTGGTAAAATATTTTTTTTATATTTAATTGTAAATATTACCCATATCTAAAAGTGAACAAACAATTATTTCAGAAAAAAAAAAATATAGAAAGAGGGGTTGGTGGTGGAATAAGAAACATTTAGAACTACACACCTTTTTTATATATTATCTTTAGAAAAACTCATAAACATGGACAACTTTGAAAACTGAAATAATACCTACAATCATTTAACTCATGGTATTATACTATATATTATCTACAATTCTTGATCAAGCCATACATTTCTGGATGATGTATATATATATTTTCTTTAGGTTCGGATTAGTGTTATTTACAAACATTTCTATGCAAGACCAGAACTTTATGTCCAATACTGGAAATGCACAAGTGACAACACATACGATCATTGTTTGTGTCATCTGATAGCGACTTTTCCATACACTCATTCTCATAGGCATGTCTCTAAATATATAAAATATTAATATATGCTGCTAGAAAGGTGGCATTAAGATCAAACTAGTTCCATAACAAGACATAGGTCAGAAGAATCTACTCACAAAAAACACCATTAGTCTCTAAACAAGCAGCTTCACTTAACACATAAGTTACCTAAACCACAAGAACCAATCTTTTTTCCTGGATTAACATTTACCTAACAATCCTTGATTCATGGATCAACCTCAAGCACGCTAGTACTGACTTCTGCCCTGTCAGACTCTTCTTTCAGTTCCTTAATCACTCTCTGATCATCTTCTTCAGCTTCATTTTCCACTTTACCAGTCTCAGGGATGCTTGTCAATGTTTCTTTATCAATCTCTTCTCCCTTTGTCTTAGACATGTCCTCGTTCCCAATCAATTTTGTGTCTGCAGTTTGCTCTTTTGCTGACTCTTTCTCTTCTGCATTTGGCTCTTCCACTGACTTTTGCTCTTCTCCCTCAGTTTCCGGTTCTACATTTGTCTCTTTCAGTGACTTTTGCTCTAGCTCATCAGCTACCTTGTGCTCTTCCTCCTCAGTTTTGCGTTTTGCAGTTGGCTCTTTCGCCGCCTCCTCCTCTTCTCCATCAGTTTTGGGCTCAGCATTTGGCTCCTCTGCTGCCTCCTGCTCTTCTCCTTCAGCTTTGGGCTCTGCATTTGGCTCCTTCAATGAGTTACACTCTTTTCCATCAGCTACGAGTTCTGCATTTGGCTCATCTCCATTAGTTTTAGGCTCTGCATTTGGCTCTTTCGCTGCCTCCTGCTCTTCTCCATCAGATTTGGGCTCCGCATTTGGCTCCTTCAATGAGTTACGCTCTTTTCCATCAGTTTCGGGTTCTGCATTTGGCTCATCTCCATCAGTTTTGGTTTCTGCATTTTGATTTTCAGGCAATTCTTGGTGTTCTCCCGTACAATCAGGCTCAGCATCTGATTCTTTCCCCAATTTCAGACTGTCTTCACCTTTGGTTTCCGGGTCTTCCTTCCCATCACAATCTTTTTCACTTTTCCGGTGCATAGCTCGAGTCACCTTCTGCGTTTTGCCAGTTCTGCCTTTTGTTTTATCAGGTTCACCATTCAGCTTTTTCAAGGATTTAAGATTTTTCCCTGCAGTGCTTTCTGGTTCATTGCTTACAGCCTTCAATGCACCTTTGGTTCTTTTTGCTTGCTTAATGGAGTCTGTTACAGGGCCTTTCTGCTTCATTGTTTGCATAGAGGATCTATATCCATAAACGTGAACTAATTCATTCAAGGATCAAACTTTCAAACAACAAAAACTAGAATTATAATATACTTTCATACCTGACTTCTGGAGAACTACTCGGTTGCACATTCTTAGACACAGTTTTCCTCTTCTTGGCTTTCTCCCTTTGTATACTACACATAACAGCAAAAACTCAAGACTAAAGCTAACTTCATATTAAAAACTGCGGGTTCTCATAGAACTATGGAAGTTTCACTTACAAGGCAGATAAAGGAGTAGACTCAGGAAGATCAATCTCCTTATCCTGCTTAGATTTTTTAAGGGAAATCAGATACATTTATCGATTAGGTTTTTGGTAAAACATAAAGAATGGTGAATGAATAAAGAGAATGTAAGAAAATTTCACCTCACTGACTGAATTATCCTCGATTATCTCAAAACGTTCTTCTTTCAGATTAAGCTCTTCAACATCGCCATCAGAATATTTTACCTGCAATGATACCAACAGTGGGAAAATTCTATATGAACCAGTTATGCAATAAAGGGAGAACTTTAAAATAGCAAATAGAGAAGTTAACTCACTTGATGCATCTTCTTAAGACTAGAATATGATTTTACGACACCTTCATAAAACCTGTGCAAAATATAAATCGTAAGATTGCTACCATTCATCATACAGTATCAAAAAGGAATTTAGTGAGTATCACAATAAGCTTACGTCTTGTCGAGTGGCCACCAGACATTAACTCTCTTACCAACCAGTTCCTTACCAAGCTCACTTGTATTGGACTCCTGAAAAGAGGAACCTATACCGTATGAATACAGGTGACAAGTCAATGCCTCATAGAAAGGACAGAGAAAGTAACAAAATTATCACCACTTCCTCTCCTGCTGTCCGTTTCCTCTTGAGATGGCTCTTAGGAGCTTGATCAGATTTTTTGGTTGAAGGCGTCGTTGCACGAGAATCCTTCTTCTGCACAGTTAACCCATTATAAGTTTAAGGAAGTTCTAGTATATAATATACTGATAAGCGAAATCATGGTTCAAAAGACTTATTACCTTGCTCTTTGATGATCGGGGAATAGGCGTATCCATGCTTGCACCTTCTGAATTCTTTTTCTTAACATCTGAGTGGGCTGACTTTTTCCCTCTGGGCTTTACCATCTTAGTTTCTGCAAGTGGCTTCTTTGCAGATGTTTTTGCTAAACCATTATGTGCTTTCTCCTTTTTACTTGACTTGCCAGTCTTAATGCCATCTTCAGGTTTTTCAACCTTAGACTTCGTCAAATCTTCTTCTGCAGGATTATTTTTCTTCACAATCTGTTTCTTTGATGGTTGTGTTGCAACAGAACCTACATCATGATCCGTCTCTTCCATCTTAGTTCGGCTTCGTTTACGTGCCCCTGTCCTAGCCCTACCAGAGGATGAGAGAGAAATAACAACAGACTGATTCGTTTGACCAACTTTAGTAGGCAAAGACACTTTCTTGGCAGCCACCTTTCCAAGTGATGAATCTCCAAGTTCTTTTTCCTGCACCTTCTTGCTTGAAGACGTCTTAAATGAATAGCCTTCCTCAGGATTCATCAGAGAATTTGGTTTCAACCCTCTCTTCCTTGTCGACCCTGATGCAGTCTCTGCATCTGTACTTTCAGACAGCCCTTCATTTGCGGTTATTACTTTGTCATCTCCATTGGCTCGACGAGTTCCACCTCTAGCAGTTCTCTTGGATCTATTTCCTTTGCGAGAAAGCCCCAAATTCAATTTGTCCTAATTCAACCGATTTTGAAGATATTGGTTAAGCAACAATAATGTGAAAGAGGCTGAACACTAAAAAGCCTTTCAAATACAGTACCTCCAATGAATCATTTGGAAATACTTGTCCTTCTGATATCTTTTCATCTGCCTGAAAAATTGAAAAAAAGATAGAAGAAGCTTAATATAAACTATTGGCAGTTGCAACTTCAAGATTCAACTACACAATTACTCTACTAGCAATCAAACCAAGAGCTCAAAGCATTGAGGATACCTCATTTTCTTTGGGCTTAACATCATTGTGTGCTTGAGTAGTGGCAAATTCACGTTGGCATATTGATGAAACTACAGGAGAATACATGTCCAAGCTGGTCCCAGAGGACTTCAAAGCTTCCATGATGCACGGATGAAGCTTACAGGCGCAACTACTGAGAACCTTCTCCACAAGCGTAAAAGCCGCTGGTGAGACATCCTAAGGCATGTCAACCAGAAAAATCAAACCTCAAGTCTATTGGGAAAGCTGGGATAATTTAACCTCAATTGGAAAAAACTTACCTGACTTTCTTTTCTGACAGTAGTCAAGAGGATCTCGAGCAAATCCATGGGTACTTCTTCACTTTCATCTATAACTGTGATCATAATCGTTTCCATTGAGAGAAGCACCAGTTGAGGATGATCCGGCCTAGATAGATGCCCAAAAGAAAAGCCTTCATCAGTGTCACATAAAGTACCAAAGAGTTAACTGAGCATTGTTAAATCAGGTTCTGTACCTACCTTATGATTTTCAAGAACCGTTGAAACATTTCTAGGACAAGATCGTCGCATTCCAAGTCCAACATAACCAAGGATGATCTAACCTTTGAAACAGTCTCAAGAACAACCTCGGCTTTCCTGTAACTGCGACTGGAAGCATCAGCTAGTTTTTCAAAGGCTTCTATTGTCACCTGGAAGATCTCCTGTAAGCCAAAGAAGCAAAGCCAATGCCTCATGAGGGAATATTAGCAGAAAGCATAGCAAAAACAAGAGACCAGTTTGACTGGAATCCAAAGGTAAACAAAGCCTGGATTAATGGTATATCAACCTTCATTTGGTCATCGTTGTAAGGGGCCTCAGGAGCAGTAATCCTCATAACTTCAGTCAAGCACGAGACAACAGAAACCCTAACATCAGAATCAGGGTTTCTTAAAAAATCAGCGGATACCAAAGCCTTCATTGGTGGAAATAGGGCCCTTTTTACTGATGCAGTAGGATCTTGCTCGACAGTGGCGAGCAGAGACTCGACTTCCTACACATAGAAGCATCAAAAATCAGATGATTGAACATAGACCGCAGAGAGAGAGAGAGATATTTACCCCTAGGGATTTGAAAGCAACATAACCCTAAAAGCTTTCACCTTTACGAAATCCCAAAAAAGTCTCAGGATCCGCTACAAAATCACTAACGAACATTGAACAAAACAGCAAAAATCGGATATATCTAACTGTCATGAAATGGAAAACCCTAATCGCTTCCTGAATCTAGCCCCCAACAGAGGAATTTCAACAAAACTCATGAACAAAAACCCATTTTCCGAGAAAACGTTACAAAACCAGAGAATATCGAGAGAGGGAGAGAAGGATTCGTACCTCGAGAAGAGTGAGAGTCGCATCAGTAGAGGATTGAGGTTTAAGGAGATTATTTGCAGAGTCGATGAGTGCTTGTGCTTTCGAGAGCTCGTTCGCTCCGACAAGAGGACCCATTTGGTTTTGTTCTTCTGAAAATGTCTACGAATTTCAAAACCCTAGAAAACAAAGAACATTCTCCGAATGAAGAAAAACTGTCCTCAAATCCAAATGAAAAAAAAATGACAACTTTGCGGCTTTTAAAGGCGGTGTAGAACATGCAAGAACTGCTCTATGTACCCCGTACATGAGTAAATTAACTCAAAAACAAACAAAAAAATGCTACTCTTTAAACTCGATTATGCAAGTGTTGACAAAACAAAATCAATTATGTGAGAGACAAATGAAACATGTGCTTTGTCATTCGATTATAAAGTAATCTCCTGTTTTTTATTATCATAATTTAGTACCTCTACAAATTGTATAATCAGAATTGTTGCTGTAATACCACAAGTATTTATTCGGTGGCAATCTTGGATTTGCCTCTTCCCGCTCTTCTTCCGGAGCTTTTTACTTCAAAAGAATTTGATTTTCATTGTGTTTTTGTATACAGAACACAAATCATATGAAAATAAATAGAATAAGGTGAATAAAATGAAATAAATCATTTAAAATTTAATGCTCTCTAGTAAAATATAGATACTTCAAAGATTGAAAACAAACAAATGTCAATTGTGCCTTTCAACAACTACCAGTTTTCTTCCAAAAAGACCATCAAGGTCACATTATAATTATTTAGGTTAACTTTTTAGAATATGATTTTATGATGAAGAAGTGAGCCAAAAAAATTATCAAGCAGATTTGGCCATGTAAGAGTTGAGCCTAGATAACAACAAAACTTGACCATGTTCCAAACAAATCTCAAGAGCTGTCCGCTAAATATTAAATATCAAAACCAAGAGAAAACAGCATTTGGGCGAAAAGCATCTGAAATCCGAGTTTAGAAATGCTTCATGAATTTTATTGGGAATCAATATGCTTCTTGACAATATTGAGGGCAGTTGTCTCCTCGCCGTAGTCCTAAGAAGAAATCACAGGAACGCATTAAGTAAAAGACTATGGCCAATAATAATCAATGAATCCTATAGATTAGATGATACATGAATTGACGTGTAAAGACTTTATATACCTTGACAACAAGACATGAGCATCCAACAACCTTCCTGGCATTGCCCTCAGAATCAATCTTGCAGAGCTGCAACAATATGAAAGATTCAATTTCTTGTTGATAACACTGATAAGTTATATATTTAGAGTCAGTATTCAAGCAAAAAACATAGACTTACACCAGCCCATTCGCCAAGGGTCTTGGCACTTGGAACTGTAAGCAAACTGATGCTGTGATCAGCACAGAGAGCTTTAACAAGCTTGACGTAATCAGGCTGGTTGCAGTCCTCAGCCAAGACACAGAGCTGAGCCACACGCTTCTCAATAAGCTTAGCACTCTCATGAAGACCACGAACCACACCACCGTAAGCACGAGCTTTCCTAAGAGTCAACTCCAAAGCAGTCATTAAGTCCATGTCCTCTGGGATGGCCGCTTGCTCAGCAACGGGGGGAACAACGGGGGCAGCCTCATCACTGAAACAAAAATAAGTCAGAACTCAGCCAAACAGAAACCGAGCACACAAGACATGTCATATATTACTGAGATGAACTTGAATTGTCAACAATAAACATTTAGACTTGTAAATTCTGATTTGTATCTTAACAAGTACCAAATAGAAGAGGTTTGAAGAATCAGATAAACTAAACAAAAAAAATGATACTCTGTACAGGAAGTTTCTGGTTAATCCAAAGCTTGTCTAAGTCCCACAAAACATTGATCCCCGCAAAGGAAGAAGCTTAAAAGTATCAGCAATTAACGAGCACAGAAAGCAATATCAACAATGTAACAACAGATACCATTCAATAGAAAAGGCCCGATAAAAAAATAGAAGAGAGAATTATCCCTAGTAAAGGAAAAAAGGGATGTATAATTAGAGAAATTAGCTAAAAATATCACTCTGATTAAGCAATGCAGGAAACAGCTAAGAATCACTACAAGGCAAGAGAAGCTTACCCTGACATGTTGTCGTCTCTTTGAAATGCCTTTTAGCGACCGAAAAATACAGGAGTCCTTGTTATCTGCCAATATAGATCAAGTAAATGAGCTGCAGCAAACACCTAAACAACCAAAACTACTGTGGAAATTCTAACGAAGCAAAATCGGCGGCGGGGGAACAAAGTTCGACAATCACATACATAGCCAAAGATAGAATAATGCGAAATCGTTTAAGGAGCTGTAACACTCACCTCAGAGACGAAGACGGCAGCAGCGGAAAGTATGAGATAGAAATTTGGAACCATTTTATATGGAGAGTTAACTAAAAACCCTAATTTCAGCTGAATAAAAATATATTTGGATGGGTCGTAACGGACCCGAGCCACAAGTTTGCATTTATTGGGCCTATTAATTGGGCTGGGCGATACATTGAAGACATTATTCTTTCTCAAGAGGTTCATCTTATTTATTAGAGATTGGCAGCAACGTGGATTAGTGGAACCATTGGAAAACAAACTGTGTAACGACTGAAATTTGTTTGTTATATTGTCAATCGCTTTGCGAAATCTAAAACGCAATTCCACAAAATGGGTATCATTGATAAGAAAACTGCAGAATCATTTCACCATAGCAATCAAACTCACTAAACCAAATATTAAATACATCATTTTACTTCTACATTTCTTCGACTAATAAGATTATGGATAACTTTTTTAATGGCTAAATTCTTGTGCATCATATTCGCTCTAAGCACCTATTTTGTAATGCACATAGCCCAATCTAAAACGTAAACTAAACATCTCAGACAAAAAGACACCAAAACAGTTTTAAATTTTTAATTTTGTTTTTTAATTTTAATTTTTGGTTCCAGTGAGCAACCGAGGATTATCTAATCCATACAAAAAACCAGAGTATTTGTCCAGAGAACCAGTGAAGAAGATCTCTTTCATCTTGTTGAAGGCACGCAATGTTAACAAGCTATCTGATCCAGCCTGGTGACAAATCCCAACTCTTTTAACACCAAGTAATTTTGCTACTCTCCCCAGACCTCCATAGAGTGGGGCGCAGAATCCCATCAAGTATTTCATATCATACACTACCGGGAAAAAACGCTCCACCTGATCAAAGAACTTCGATGCCTCCGCCGGCAATTCTTTCCCGGACAAGAGTTTCAGCAAGTATCCAAAATCATATCCGCAATGGAATGTCACCCACTGTATCTTGTCGTTAAGCACTACTCCTGAACTCATTAGAAGCTCAGCAAATCGCCTCGAATCTACACCGCATTCGGTGTTTTTCTCCAAATCGATGTATGACTCACGCAGGAGTTGGATGGAATCCATGGCAAACATGTCGGATTTGAGATTGAATTCTCTGAAATTGAACTGCCAGATGCATTGCTTGTTAGTTCCACAGGTTGGTAAGTTTCCTTTCTCATCTGATAACGTGAGACCTAGCTGAATCAACTTAAGCATGTTCACATTCGTCTTCAAGGTTTCGTAGTTGAATTCGTAGTGTTTAGGGTTTGGGCTTGGATTCGCCGTAACTGTCTTGCAAACGACTCCTGGGAACTCTGTGTCCATGGCGACGTAAGGGAAATCGTCAATGGCCTGTTCAATCAGAGCCATCTCTTCTTCAAGATTATGGTTCCAAACCTCGCGGATTTCAATCGTATCGTCTTCTTCTTCTGGATTCGAAACCTGCGACATTTCTCTGTCGGTTTATGATACCTCAAGAACTTGCAAAAAGCATCTGGATGCGAGAGATTGATTGATAGAAAGAAATCGATAAACCAAGAACGGATCTAGAGAAAGATCCGATCTGGTTTCATCAGTATCTGCAAAGCAATTTCAAAATGCCAAGAATTATCAAATCCCAAAAACAAGGAATAAATATCTCGCAGAAAGATTCAAACGAAACCATAACACAACACACAGAAATGGAGAGATATAGAAACGAGGAGGCGGTGATTCGAACCTGGAAAATCAAACGAAGAAGGTGTAGAAATAGATATTTTCTAGAGAAGGCGGCGATTCTCCAGATTAGGGTTTCAGAGGATGTGGTGGTTTAACGAAGAGAATGATGCGAAACTGGGGAGAAGAAGAAGAGGAAGAGGCTGGCTATTAAGGAATTACGGATATTAATAAATCAAAATTTTCTCGAAAAATTATAAATCGATTTTACCTTTTCTCTATTTTTTTTTTATTTTTTCTTTTCTTTCCCTCGCTCGCTCTCTATTTCTCCTCTGAATCTATTTATTAGCTCATCGCCACAAATTTTCTTGTTTCTGCACCAAAATAAATCCTAAATTGATCTTTCTTTCATTTTTTTTTCCTTAGGGTTCTCATTTTTCTTTCCCAAGAAGAAACCTAAAAAAAACTCATTTACTGATATTGAATGTTACTTGCCGAAATAATCTTAACTTGCCATACCCACAAACTTATATGATCACCATTCTAATCAAAGCATGATAAGCTAGGGGTTTCATGTAATAAGATAAAATGATAAAAACGATAAATCATTTTTGTTATATATACGAGGAATAAGAATAACAAAGATTATATACGCACGGGTGGCTATTAAACAAGAACTTAAAACAAAAAGCATAAACCAAGAGAGATAACTAATAAAAGATTCGAAAATCTTTCAAATAAGAAGATCCAACGATACAAGTGGGAAGAAATTAGTCTCCATACAGAGAGAATACGAGCATCCTAATTATTTTACATGAATTAACCTCAATTCTCAGTTATTTATTACTAATAGATAGTAAACTTAACCATTTATTCTTCTTCTTCCTCATCCTCCAATCCTGCAACCAAAAGTAGAAGACCATTGGATTCTTCAGTTCAAATCAAAATGACACAAGACCTAAGCCAGACCAGATCATTATTGAACTCAAGTCAACAAGCGAGATCATGCCTCTTCAGTATTTGTTGACCCTAAACCTTATAAAGCCTTTTCTTACACGTTTCTCAGATTATGGAGTGTGTGTAGTTTTAAACCAGCACATTCCATATAAGCTAATATAAGGAGACCTGTGTCAACTGAACAAGATTTAGCATACCTTCAGGTTCTTTTGCGTTTCAGACTTTTGATCTCGGTTGAAATGAACGTAATCACTTCCTTCAGTGTTGCTTTTCTTCCTTCTTTGAAGTTCCACAGTTCTGGAGTTGTGTACCGACCACTTGCATTATACTCATTCATCTCCCCAAGAGCTGTTTTTACTGCGTTATGCACCTCTTCTCCCCACTCTCCTTTAAGCTTCTTCAGCTGCTCATCATCCTCGTCTACCATTTCCTGTAACCATTACCATCTAACACCATCACTGCTAACTCACAAAAGAAGTTGTACCAACATATGGACAACATTCACAGAATCACATGTTACTCCTACATATTTAACTAAAACAGTGGCCCAGAAAGGGTAAGAAAGACCAGACACTTTTCAAAGTCATAATGGCCTCAACCTAAATCAATGATTCAGTGAGTTAAAAACTCGTAAAATTAATGAACCTACCTTTGCTCTGTCCCCGGTTCCTTCACGCTTGAATGGTTGCCATGATGGATTCTTGAGGTTCTCCTGCCATGTCGAGCAAAGGGTGGCAGCTTCAACCGTAGCATCATTTGCAGAATATCTCAGCTTGCAAACATCCAGAAAAGGTTTCTCATTAAGTTCTCCCATCCTTTTTACTCCGATATCGGTCTCAGCACCCAACAATCCTGTCAAACCCTGGAACAAAGAGCTTTCCTTTGAGTATTCTAACCACACACAACATAGGCATCAATTAATAACTCACAAGATTATTCCAACTTTGGTCGTTGTTACAGACAGTATGCATCTTCTAGACAAGATATAGTGGTAAAGATCTGTGATTTTTACCAGGGTCCTACAGCCGTCATAAAGCGTAATCTTAACAGATGAAAACTCATCTTCAATCCATCCCATCAAACAGGTTTATCAGTACATTTTAAACTTGCAAGTTCAATTGGCAACTGAAGATTTCCAACAAACTAGAGTGTTTGACCATGTCTGAATTATTTTAGACGCGAAAAAATAAACAATTTCTCAGGAACATTTTCTTACGTAATGGTAAAATGCAACTGCGTCAGTACCCAAAAACACTAAAGCATTAGAAATCTGTACCTGAATCAATTTTTTCCGCGCTGCTTGTATCTCATCATTGCTTTCACGTTCTTTTGTCATCAGGACTGAATTCATCTCCTCTAGCCCTTCTAACTCAGATTTCTTTTCCTTCAGCTCATCATTCATCTCTTGCATTTTCTTCTTGACCGCCTCATCATCATCATCCCCCAAATGCTTCATCACTTGCAATTTGCCTTTTAGCTCTTGAATCTCCATTTCCAGTGTCTGTTTGGTGTCTAGCTGCTTCTCAAGCAGAAGGATCTTGTTCAAAGCATCTTCTTTTTGCCTCTGGTAAGAAGGAGAGAGTTTCAAACTCAGACACAAATAAGGTAAGAGTTTTTTCCCTTAATTTTGGAATTAACTTGTTAGTCAGTTTAAGTAGTGTGCTATGAAGGAATATACCTTATGCTCTTCGACAAGTCTCAAGACGCTTTCGTCAGCCTTTTTCTGCTCACGAGAGGCTAACTGTAGGGATTTGTTCATAGCATCACTCTGCCAAAGCAAAAAAACATAAAATGATCATTGGTTCCTCGGAAAGAAAAATGCATACATATGCACAGACTGATTGTTTCCTATGTATCATACTGACAATGATATTACCTTTCTCTTGTCTTCATCGAGCTTTTGTTTCTCCAGTTCAGTTAGTGCTTCCTGTTTGTCCAATTGTTTGGCCCGAGACTCCAAGTCCCGCATCTTACGATCCAGTTCATCGCTTAGCCTCTCTTTGTCATATAGGATCTTTTGGATATGGCGAAGTGACATCTGCTGCATCTTCTTTGTTTCTGAGGAGATAAAATATAAAAAAAAGTCAGATACCCTAACACATAATATATATGAGTCGGAAACATATCAGGGTGTCAGTAAATACCGTCAGCAAAAGCTTCGTGCAAGCTTTTTTTCTCGTCTAGGACCCTTTGCAGTGACATTGCCGTCTTGTTGTAACTGTATTGGACCTTGTTCAGATCTTCGTTTGTCATAGCAATCATATTTGAAAGTTCGTCCAGAACAGTGTTTCTATCCTGCACTTTTTCTTGCAAAACATCTGAAACTGTTCTTAGCTGTCCCTCCTTGGAGAGGTACTCACCTATTGGATCTTGAGAGTTAAAGTCTTCAGCACGTGCACACCAACCATAGGCCTTTGACTCTGAATCTCCGCTCCTCTCAGTCCACTCCTTTTTGCTGGAGCCTTGGGTCTCAAATTCCTTTTCAAGCTCTGTGGCACTGGCAAACCCACTCCAGTCGCTGTGAAACTTAGCAATAACCCCAACAATAGAATCTTGTTCGAGCCAAAAGGCATTCACCTCAATAGGCTTGAATTTGGAAAGGGTCTTCAACCAAAATGCTGAATCAAGTAGAAGTTCCTTGTCATCTGTTTCTTTCAAAGGGTTAAGAACAATCGCCATCCATGGCCAGACATAGACGTCATGAGGGTTTGGTTCAGTCTCGTCAAACTGAGGAGGAACAACTGGAGGGCGTGGAACAGGTTCTGCATAACCAGCAAGCTCATTCTCTAAAAACTTAGCTAAAGCAAGATGATTAGCCTTCTGTTTAGCACTTCTGCTGGCAGATCCTTTGGAAACCCCAGTAGCATGTGCATATAACTCCTTGTACTTGTAATCTTGCTTCTTCTTGCCGGAACAAAACGGGCATCTGAGCTGTCCATTAACCTTGACCTTGTAGCTCCCATTGCGTAAAAGCAGGTAGGGTGTTTCGGAATAGTCATCAATCTCAGACTCGCTGATCTCAGACTCTTCATCAGATGAAATACCCATCCTACCTGCTTTACCTGGAACCACAATTGAAAATAGCAATCAAGAATGGATGATTCATTCACCAAACAAAGCTAAAGAGAATCTCTAAGAAATTAAAATACTTGTTAGACTTCAAATGAGTCAGTCACATCAGAAAGCAAAACTTCACCGGATAGTTCATGCAGCAAAGTTAAAAGCCCAAAAGAGACTCAATTTCTAGCAAACTGAGTCGATAGTATATAAATCCCAACAGCAAGAGAAACCCTAGGCAACAACTTAACCCAAAAAAAAACCAAAAATTTAACACTGGATAAAGCAAAAGAGACGAAATTGATACAGCATTTACAAAATTGTGCTATGAGATTCACGCATGCATGATAAGGAATCTAACGAAATCCAAAATGTTGTACGGGAGAAGTGAATAAAGCGTTAAAGCACGAGATGCCCAGAAAAAAACAACAACCATTTGGGAGATTTCATTGTGAAAACAGAGTATAGAAGAAATCTGGAGCTTACCCAAAGCTTGATGAAGAGAGAGAGAGAGAGGAGTAGAGAGAGTGAGGGACTGATGAGGAATCCGATGAAATTTCTATGCAAATGCGCCAATAAAACAAGAGTTAGGGAAAAGCAGCAATAAAGAAGATGAAAGACTATCTAATTTAAGAAAAAGTAAAACTAGGATAAATATGTCAAGAAATGGCATTTGAACCCGTGCCCTTTCGTATTGACTCATGTTTGACCAAAATTCATTTTGCTCTTGGATATCATCATACTCATACATAATCTTTTCAAAAAAAATTTGGTTTTCAAATTGTGATGATCTTACAAGCAAGCAGGCCAGTGTCTCTCGATGAGCAAAATGGCGAAAACGAAAATTTGATATTGAGCCTAAACACTGAACTAATTCCACTTTAGCAGCAAATTCATCAACAATCTGAGTACAGTTTTATTCAACTTCAATGAACACTCACTCCCATAAAAATGTTGCATGTTTTCATTTCAACAATTCAAAATCAAGGAGATTGATTACCAAAATTGTGATGATCAAATCGATCAACCTTTTGATAAAATCGGAGGATACAACACTGACAAGCTTCAATGGATTATATAAGCTACTCTGAATCGGCAGCAATTAGTAAGAAAGATTCAATTCAAATCGGAAGGATGGGTCGGGTACGTGATCGGCGAGATTTCCAGAGGAAGAGAACCAAAGCAGCGATCACAACTCCAATGGCGTCCGCGACGGCGTCTCTAGCGGAAGCACCTGCGGAAGGGAAGATACCAAATTGATCGGCAGCTTCTTTTGCCGCACCGGCGGCGACTGAGAAAGCAGATCCGATCCAGATGGAGTGACGTCGTAGAAAGGAGTAGCGGGAGAGAGAGGCGAGAGTAGAGAAGAGAAGAGAGATGGAGAAGCAGAATACTACATGGTAGACTTTGTCTGCAGCGAGCCAAGGATCTTCTTCTTCGCCGCCATGAAATTGCGTCTCCATTTATGCTTCCAAAATTCGGGAAGAAAAGGGAAATTTTGAAACAAAGGAATTAAAAAATATATTAGAGCAAAGCCGAGATTTTGGACCTTCCAAATCACTCTTATCAAAATGCCGGATAAGTGCTTGATGCTTGGAGAGACCATCCGCTGTTTTAGGAGCCTCCTTCTAAACCCCATTCCACGCATGTCTCAAATACTTATTAGTGGCAGCTTTGGACAGCCTTCGAAATAAAACTGTCTCAGGTTTGGAAGAGCTGGAGGATCCCAGCAGATTGATTTCAGTTCATCCAAATTACATGCTCTCCAGCTCTTCGAAAGGCACAACAATATCTGGATGCAACGTCCTAATACTCATTTCTTTCTCTCTATTTATTATTTCTTCTATACTTGATGGACCCGACACAGATAGAATCCTGAGACTTTGAGCATACAATAGCCATGTCAAATCGGTTGGACCTTCCAAACGGACTATATGTACAGCGGAGAGTTGCTTGAAGCCTGGAGAACCTGTACATATTAGATCCCCTCTTTCTTTGCTTTCCCAATCTATCTTTATCTCAGAGATTTTGGAGTTCCAAATAGTAAGGCGTTGAAGACCTCCCACAACTACCGTGTTTAATATTACCACCGGTGCTGACATATTGCTGAGACATAAACCTCGAATACTGCTTGCTAATCGGTCCACTCCTTGTATATTTTTCAAAATCACGGCATCCTCTATGGTTGCTGTCACAATCTCCACGTGCTCCAAGAGTTGTAGCTCTTTCATTAATATGTCATCAACACAAACTCTGGAACAATATAATCTCAACACTTGAAGATTTGGTAGACTTGTTGCTATCCCAACAATACTTTCAAGCTCACGAGTAAACTCCAAATTCAAGTCGATTAGTCGTTTCATCTCCTTCAAACCATCTGGTAACGATTTCATTCCTGTGTATGATAAGTTGAGATATTGCAAGGAACCCAAGTTAGAAATTTCTTCCGGCAACCTAGAAAGAATTGAGTTCCTCGATAGATCCAAGACCACAAGTGCTGGCATAAACCGAAAGAATTCACATGAAATATCCACCAACTTATTATTCTGGAATAATAGGGTCGAAAGGTTGGAGCAGTTGCAACTGCAAGATATCTCCGAAATCTGATTGCTCATTAGTGATATCCTTCTCACAAGTTCCCAATTGATGTCTTTTGGTATTTCACGTAACTGCGCACCAGATCTAACACAAAATGTTTCTCTCTGTTTCCCAAAATTAGATGCTATCCAAAGAGCCATCTCGCGTATAACATCATGCATTTTCACGGTGAATGTGAGTACACCATCCACCAATAGATGGGCATGAACTAGTAAACCGATTATATCATGACCTTGGTTGTCAGCTCCATCGTCATTTCTGCTTCCATCGATAAATCCTTCGCATATCCAATATTTTATCAATTTCTCCTTCCCTATTTCATAATCTTCCGGAAACAAAGAACAATATAGGAAGCATAATTTGACTTTTTCGTCTTTTAAGCTATCATAACTGAACTTCAAAATGGAAAGAATCTTTTCTTCCATACCTGGAAACTCATGGCTAGACGAGTTGAGAACATGAATCGCATGACGCCATTCTTGTACAGTCTCTTTACATGCCATGGCTTTTCCAATGACACATAGCGCAAGTGGCAAGCCACAACATTTTGCAGCAATTTTTCTTGCAACTGGGAGAAAATCATGATGGCTCTTTATAGGGTTTTCTCCAACTTTTTGCTGAAATAACTCCCAGGCTTCATCCGGTGACAAACAAGCAACTTCCATTATATCATCAACCTCTATGTCTTTGCAAACTTCCTTAGAACGAGTCGTAAAAACTAATTTGGATCCATTTTCTTGGGTTGGAGGTGGAACTCCTATCTTGTTCAAATCTACTTCGCTCCACAAATCATCCAATAAAATTACAAATTTCTTTCTGTTTAGGATATTCTTATGCGAGAGGCTCTCTCAATTTCCGTTTCTTGTTTCCATTCCTTGTCAAGACTTAGTCTTCCTAAAATCTGATTCTGGATGCTCTCAATTTGCAAATCTTTAGAGACCACAACCCAGATCACAACATCAAATTCATTCACCACTTCGAGGAATCTGTTGTTGATACAAGCTAAGAGGGTAGTTTTTCCGACTCCCCCCATACCATAAAGACCCAGTGTTCTTCGTTCACCGATCATGAGGCTGTTCCATGCCTTCTCAACCATTGAATCCAAACCAACTGTGGTTTGAAAATGCTTCTTGTCCACCTTTGGTACAGGGATTTTCTCAGCCACCACTTGGAAAACTCCTTTAGCTAGAAGCCCTTCAACTTCTTTCAACTTTTTCAGTACTTTTTACCATAATCGCAGCTTGTTATGCACTTCTTAGAGCAATATCCAAGCAGACACAATCTTTTAGTTTGAGTTGATCTAGCCTCGAGCAAATCTTTGACTTGAGACTCAACACTTTGTACCCTTGAAAACCATCCTTGGACTTGAGCAAGCCGTTGCAAACCTTTATCTTCGTCAATGACAACTCTTCTTAAAAGATCATCTCGTCTCTCTTCAAGTTCTTGCATAGTTTTCTCCAGAGCCTCAAGATTTGCCTCCATCATGTGAATGTAATTCCCATCACCAAATAAGCAGCCACAAGCGTGATGCAACGTTTGATCACAAGATACGTCTAGTGATACACAGTTTCCCATCTTTCGCAAACTTTCAAAAATACAATCCCTACCTAACAAGACTGCAATTCAAGGATGCTGCATTCTACACCAATAATGGAGAAACTGGTGAAGATGTTTTTATATCCACAAAATGATATGAAACATCAAATATGAAGACACACTTCACTACCCACTTGGTCTCTAACCCGGTCAAATCAATATATATTGAACCGAAACAGACTTATAAGAAAAAAGAAAAAGAAAAAAAACTTGTAAAATAAACGAAGAACAACCAGAATTGAATCGAACTGCAAATGAATCGATTAATACTTCAGTCTTTCTTTGTTTAATCCTTGAAGCTGAAAACTGAAAACTGAAACCAAACCGGAAATCTAAAATCAAAATCAAACCCAAAATTGAAGTTTTCAGTTTAGTTTACATACGGAAAAGTCTTCATTGAATATCAGAGTTACCGACGCAATGATGGTCCGTAACCACCAACCAAAGCAGCGAGCACTAACGTCGGTAGAAATGTCCAAAACGCGATTCGGAAAGCGACCTGCGATATTTCTTCGGTAATAAAAAACCACGGCTGAACCAAGAATCTAACTTATTGACCCATCTACCCAATATAAACCGACTGGTATGAATTTTTATTTCTATTAATGTGAATGGCACTCTTTAGCGTGTAACTGAAACAAACACGAATTTTTTTTTTTGAATGAATGTAAAATTTATTCACAAAAAAAAAACCGTGTTTACATCAAGTGCGACTTTGCTGAAAGTAGAGTAGATAATTTAAAGTTCTTGAACTTCTAAAATACACTTAAGATCGAGTTGAAAACCATGAGATAAGAAGATCTTCATATCTTCGATTGCCCGAGTTTCGAAGAAGAAAAATCCGGTTGCGGATGGTCTTATCAATGAGTTTCTCCAGGTGGGTGGCTGTTCTTGGACTTTCTCCATGTCTTCGATTATTTCTTTCTCTCCATAATGAATAAACTGTTGTTTGAAGTGCATACCTTAGGAGTAGCAGGCAATGTCGTTCTAAGCTTGCGTTGGAGATGAGAGAGGTGAGTTGGTTCCAGTCCGAGGTGTATTGATATCTCAGTAATCCCTTTGATAGTTTTTCCCATATTTGATTCGAGTAAGGGCATTGAAAGAAGATATGATTCCTCGTTTCCAGAGTTGCTTGACAGAACATACAAGAGAAGTCAATTCCTCGATTCCACTTCATCATACGATCTCCCGTTGTTAGACGATTATGCATACCCAACCATGTGATGAACGCGTGTTTTGGCGTGGCTTGGGAGAACCACACCCCTCTGGCCCATTCGCAGACTGGTTTCGGAGCTCGGATTAGTTTCCAAGTTTCACTGGTTGAGAATTTCTGTTTAAACCCTGATCCTCTCTTCCACAAATTCACATCCTCTAAATCTGGTTTGTGTTTGGATTTCACCTTTTCTATTTCAGTTTCAATTCTGGTCAGTATTTCCACGCGGTGCCTTTTGCTCCGGCGATTTGTTAGCACATCTCCCATCATTGTATGCTTGGTAATCCCCAGGTCTATACATCCTCTATCACCCAAGATGTCAAACAATGTTCCCATAGAAGACCAATGATCGAACCAAAACGAGGTGTTCTTTCCGTTTTTGATTTTCATCTTGTGAAATACCTTAGCCGTCTCTCTCATCTTAAGTATCTTTCTCCACATCCAAGATCCCTTGTAAGACGTTTCTTTTAAAGCCCAAAACGATTTTTCCCGAATCAGATAGGTGTGTACCCATCTTCCCCAGAATGATGTTGGATGAGCAAGTAACCTCCAAATTAGTTTAAGACCACAAACCATATTTGTTTCCTTTAGTGGCCTGAGACCTAGACCCCCTTCACACGTAGGAAGACAAACATCTTGCCAAGATATTTTTGCATTTGTTGTCTTCAACTCTGGCCCACTCCATAAGAAAGCAGAGCATAGTCGTTCCACCTCTTTCATACATTTCCCTGGTAACCGGAAAGCTGACGACCAGAAGTTGGTGATGCTTGTTAAGACTGATCGTATGAGCTGTAATCTTCCCCCGTAAGATAAGAATCTGCTCGTCCATGAACTTATTCTGCTTCTTATTTTCTCGATCAATGGTAAGTAATCTTGGCTAGTCATTGCTTTGGTCAGCAATGGTAGACCAAGGTAACTCACCGGTAGTTGTCCTGATTCGAAAGGAAAGTGAGTTCTAATTTCTTCCTGCATGGCCTGCGGTATCCCTGCCATAAATAAAGTGGACTTCTCAACACTGATTTTCAGGCCTGACCAACTAGCAAACTCATCAAATATTGAGATAACTCCTTCGATTGATCTTTTGGTTCCTTCAGCAAAAACCATAAGATCGTCTGCAAAGCATAGATGTGTTAGAAGAAGATTGTGACATCTAGGGTGATAGCCGAATCTGCCTTCTACGGCTGCTTTATTTATCAAGTGAGAGAGAGCGTTCATACAGATCACAAACAAGTAAGGTGAAAGAGCACATCCTTGTCGCAGTCCCCGTTTGCTCCGAAAAAAATCCACTAGTTCACCATTCACTTGAACTGAGAACGATGCAGTCGTTACACAAAGCCGTATCCAATGAATATATTTTTCTGGAAAGTGCAAAGCCTGTAGCGTATTGAGTAAGAAGGACCACTGGACAGAGTCAAACGCCTTTGATATGTCAATTTTCATTGCACAACGGGGAGAAATGTTCTCCTTGTGATAATCTTTGACCAGCTCAGACGCTAATAGTACATTCTCCATAAGTAACCGATCCTTTACGAAAGCAGTTTGATTAGGAGATATGATTTCTGGGAGCAAAGCTTTAAGGCGATTGGCCAAGATCTTCGAGATGACTTTATATAAGACGTTGCAGCAAGAAATGGGTCTGTAATCCTTCATAACCTTTGCTTCTTCTTTCTTCGGAATTAGAGCAAGGATCGTAGTGTTCACACCCTTAGGGAGAAAGCCTTTGATGAAAAATGATTGAATCGCCACTGTGAAGTCTTTCCCTATGATTGGCCATGCACTTCTAAAGAATTCAGTACTATACCCATCCGGCCCCGGACTTTTTTTTGCTGGCATTGAGAATAGTACCTTCCTTACTTCTTCATCTGTAACCTCATGTTCTAGCATTTCTCTGTTTTCTGCGCTACATCGAAACGGGAGTAAAGCCTCAAGACTCTCGACTGTTGTACCTTCATAATCCTCCGGGATATGTCCTAGGAACTCAGAAAAAAACTGAACCGCTTCATGTTTAATCTCCTCTTGACTGGTTGCAAGTGAACCATCCTCACGTTGTATCTCTCTAATGGCATTTTTAGCTTTGCGAATCTTAACTGCATTATGGAAAAACTGGTTATTCTGGTCACCCACGTCTAGCCAGTGAAGCTTTGATTTTTGGCGTAAAAAACTTTCTTCAAGTTCAGCTAGGTTTTTCCATCTCTCATAAGCCTCTGCTTCTGCCTGAATGGTATCCACAGTTGGATGGGTCTGAGTCTCTTCTTGCTTAGAACACAGCTCCGTATATGCAGCTTTTGTTTTCTTTGTCAATTCCCCAAGTCTATCCCGACTCAAGTTTCTGATATCTGGTTTTAGACCCTTTAGTTTTTTTGCAAACCTATACATCGCTGACGTTGATGGGAATAATGTCTCTGTGTTAGCCCAAAAAGACTGTATAAGAGGCAGAAATTCCGGCATGGTTGCAATAACATTTGCAAACTTGAAAGGTCGCTTTGGAGAAGGTTGTCCCATTTTTAACTGAATTCTATAACGCAGATGGTCTGAACACCCGCCTGCCTCAAAGACACAATACGCTTGCGAGAATTGATGGAGCCATGTATCGTTTATGAGGACCCGATCCAACTTTTTGCTTATCAAGCCTTCCTCTCTTTTGTTACACCAAGTAAATATGGGGCCGTGAGATCCCATATCCGTCAATGCACAATGTCGTACAACATCTTGAAAGTCTCGCATACCAGCTGGTATACTAGGTGAGTGTACAAAAGCAGAGTGTTCCTCCCCATCCAAAATCTCATTAAAGTCTCCCATGATAATCCATGATTTGTTCTTAAACATTTGAGAATCTCTATGATTCCTCAGGTCGTCCCATAGACTTTTCCTCTCCTCTGCAAGGTTTTTTGCATATACAAAAGAACAAAAAAACTCCTCCTGCTCACCATCCATCAAAACAGAACAAGTTATGATTTGATCACTTTTGTAGACTGGAGTTAACCGTACCGTAGCTCTCCAGAGAACCCAAATGCGACCTAATCGATGAAATTCATAATTTGCCATAAATGACCAGTCTCTGAATACAAAAGATACTATTTGATCTGCTTTCTTCTCCTTGACTCTCGTCTCCAATAAGCAGCCAAATTGCATATCCTTATTTTTTGTCCAGTTATGGACTACGGAATGTTTAATAGATTTGTTAAAACCGCGCACATTCCATGAGAAGCACGTCATTTATAGATTTCTTCGGGTGGACCTCTTGCTCGAAGTAACTGGGATCGAGTCCTTAGTTACATGAGTTGAAGTCGCCGAAGTGCCCTTTTTTTCTTGTAGACCCGTGTAGCTGGAGGATTCACCACACCCTCTGCTCCCACTTTCACTACATCTTCCTGAATCTGAACTGTTTCCCCATTTTTCTCCACAGTGTTAATTTCCTCTTCCTTACCTTCTGCGTTTTCTCTAATTTCTCCTTCTTCCTCCTCATCCACACTAAGAACTGCGAACTTCGATGCTGAAGCAACTGGTAACGCTGTATTCTGTTGTAAAACAAAGTCTTTATTTGGACTACGACTCGCCTTAGAAGGCGACACTGTGGTCCACTGGTCTGTGTCGTCCCCATTTGCATCCACTATATTGGTACTAGCTTCTTGACTCATTTCTGTAGTAACTTTCTCTGCCACTTGCTCTGTTTCTATACTTGCACCCTTTTCCAATACTATGCTTAAATTAGGAACCTCCTGACTGCTTATCTCCACAAGGGACTTGCTTTCTATGGCTTTAGGTACTTCCTGGCTGCTTATCTCTGACTTCTTTAAATTTGCCACACATCTAGTTTCCAGGTGACCCCATTTATCACATATGGTGCATCGCGGAGGCAGCCATGGATAGCTGAAGTCAACCCAAAAATCTGTCCCATTCTTAGAGAAACATATCTTTTTAGGCAATTCTTTTGACAAATCCGCCCGAACAAATACCTTTGCAACATCAAAATTTGAACAAGCTGCTGTTTCCGGATGTAAACGCACTGGAATCCCCACAGCACTTGTGATGAAACTCAGCCCTTCCCATGAATACATGTTCAACGGAACCTGCTTCAGGTAAACCCACAAGGGAATCGATTTTTCCTCTGGTTGATCCCTTTCAGTGATCGGCGACCACTTAGAGACTACCATTGGCACTTCTGCAATGTTCCACATACCCCTTTTGAGAATGCGGGCTCGAACCAATGGATCACAAACCCGAAACCTCTGTGTAGTGGAATTAACTTCATAGACATCGATTTTCTGTGAATCTGCTCCCTGTTTCCAAATTTTGTTGAGAATAACATGAACCTTTGCAACGTGAGGTGCTGTGTTCAAGAAATTAACGACCAGGAAATCCTCCCATAGTGGTGTAGCGTTTTCGAAAACTTCATCCGGGATCTCCACAGAGTTCTTCCCTTCAGAAGTTGTGACGTTAATGTCGAATTTTTGTAGAACTTGCTTATTTTGAACCACTGAAACCCACGAACCCTTCGTCTTAGGACTGGAGACCCTTGGCGACTCTTCCAGTATCTCCGACATCACTTCTCCGAGCAGCCTGACGGCACCGGCAAGCAATCTTTTTGAACACGAAACCCTAACTCTTGATCGCCCAAATTTTCACCCTTCTTAGCAAAACGCACCGTTTCTTAGCCTCAATAAAACAAACACGAATTTAACACAAGGATAGGGAAAAAACCAACATCCACAACAAATTCACACACATGCGCAAAAAGGGAACAAAACCAAACCAGTAAGCATAAGACAAACTCATCATGCGTTCACAAACCACAAATTGGCACACAAAAACCAACCAATAAGAGGGGTTTTTCTAATTCAAAGGAAGAAGAGAAATTGCATCATGTGGGATCTTCTTCTCCGGCATACATTGCTCCCCTCAGAGAAACCTACAACATCATAAAGATGGAAGCATGAGCAGAAATCGTCCTAAAACTTAGAGAAAGATATTATCCAAAAGAGAAAGGAAACGAGGATTAGAAACCATTCCATACGTTAAAAACTTTATGAAGTTAGCTTGGATAAAACCGTTGCTTAGTAGCCTCATCTTCCCATTCAAGTTCTTCAATCCACTCCTTCTCTGCGTCTATAACAAGGTTCTGTCCCTTGGCACTTTCAGAATGTAGTGGAAGTTTCTTCAGCTTTGGACACCCCAATATGACGACTGTGGTCAGACAGGGGAAATGAAGAGGGCTCCAGTGCACTGCCTTTAGTTCACCAAGATCTTGTAAGTGAAGGAATTGAAATCTTAGAAAAGGGACCTCTTCACTTTGCTCATCTAACGTCTTCTATTTGCATATTATTTCTTCTATCAGCCGTGACCGTACTACACGTAGATGGGTCTGCTTTCGAGCAAAGATGAGCCATGTCAAATGCCTTAAACTGTCACAGTTGATTATTTCTACGTCAGAGAAATTCGGGAAGAATCCACTGCTTGAACGATCCCTGATTTTCATTGCCTCCCATATCTATATATATCTCTGAGAATTTACAACCTTGTATTTCCAGCTTGCGAAGACTATACCAGACTGGCCCAACTTGTACTCTGATTGCTGGCAATATGAATGTTCTTAGAGATAGAACTTGAATACACCTTGCCAGACTACTGTTGCACTGAAGTATTTCCCAACAAATGTCGTCGTCTATACTTATGGTCAAAACTTCTAAAGTTTTCAAGTCTAGTATCGCACATAAACCCAAAAAAGAACTATATTTGGAGCTTGAACCAAGTAATTTTAACACTTGCAGCTTTCTTAACCTCGTTATCCTATCAATATTTTGGAGGTCCACCGTAAATTCCAAATTCAGGTGTATCAGACTTTCCAACTTATCTAAACCAGAAGGCAGCAGCTTTATCTCTGTGTGTGATAAGTCGAGATACCGCAAGGTGGTCAAATTTGAAATATCTGGCAACTTTCTGAGGTTGTACTTCCGGGAAAGATCCAACACCACGAGCTTTGGCATAGACCAAAAGAATTGACTAGACAAATCCAGCAAGTCGTTATTATGGAGGAACAGTGTCAGGAGCTCAGGACAGTTAGAACTGCAAAACCCTTTCTGAATTTGATTACCCATCAGCGACATCCTTCCCACTTCCATCCCTTGACTTGTATTGTAATCTGGAAGGTCGTGTAAAGAGGTTCCAGTCTCCACAATGAAATTAGATGCATTATATGGACTCAAACATGCTATCCTCAAGGCCATTTCACGGACCACATCATGCATTTTGACTACCCCCCTTTGGATTCGTCATTCATCAATAAAAATGTGCGGACAAGTTTACCAATTATAATATAACCATCGTTCACAGCAAAATCCCTACTTCTGCCCTTTATAAGCCCTTCTCCAATCCAATAGTCAATTAAAACTTCTTTTTCTATCTCAAAGTCCTCCGGGAATAAAGCACAATATTGAAAACAAAGCTTGACTGTTTCATCCCCCAAATCGTCATAGCTAAATCTTAATATAGGAAGAATTCATTGCAATTTGCCACTCGTGTACCGTCCTTTTGCATGACATTGCCCCACCAATGACGGTTAGTGCAAGTGGCAAGACCTGACATTTAGTAGCCATCTTTCTAGCGAGTTGAGGAATATCTTCATGAAAGTTTAATGTGATATCCCCAACTTGTTTTTGAAACAGATCCCAAGCATCATCAGGTTCTAAGCATGGGACATGCATCTCAGCATTGGCCCTCATCATGCACCCCCTCACCTCCACTGAACGAGCTGTGAATGCTATCTTGCAATAATTTTCTTCGTTCGGATATGGAACTCCTATCTTTTGTAGATCTACTTCACTCCATATATCATCCAGTAACAACACAAATTTCTGTTTCTTTAGAATTTTGTGTATGTCAGAGGCTTTCTCCTCTTCTTCGCTCTGAACCCATCTCTCGTTATGTATGGATAAACGTTTCCCAATTTCTTCCTGAATTTTTGCAACTCGTCCGTTTCTAGACACTGTAACCCATATCACAATGTCAAATCCATTCATTTTGTTTTGCAAATTTGTTGTTGAGTTGAGTAAGGAGAGTGGTCTTTCCTACACCGCCCATACCATAAATCCCCAGAGTTCCTACATTTTCTTTCATGAAGAGATTCCAGGTATCATCAAGCATTCTATCGAGGCCAACTGTTGGCTTGATAGGTCTTTGATCTACCGGCACAGGAACTACTTCAGCCACCACATCAAAAACTCCGGAAGTAATGAGTACCTTAATATCCTTCAACATCTTAAATACCTTTGCACCATATATACACACAGCTTGATAGAAAATTATTGGAACAATATCCATTCATACACAACCTCTCAGTTTCAGTGGTACGAGAAGGGATTAAGCCACGGGCTTCATACTCGATGGCTTCAGCATTTGAGAGCCATAGTTGGACTTTTGCAAGCCGTTGCAAGCCGTTACGTTCTTCTATCCTGACTGATGTTGACAAATCTACTCGCGTAGCAACAAGTTCTTCTAGAGCATCCTCAAGTTCGTCAAGGTTTTGCGTGAGCTTCTTGATGTAGTTTCCATCTCCACATAAGCAGCCACAGACGTGATTTAACGTTTGGTCACAGGATATCTGAAAGGACAGGCAATTTCCCATCTCTACAGGTACCAGAGATAAAAAGCATCAGCAATACGCAAGAAAAGTGGCTGAATGGGAGAGAAAAGAGGAAAATAACTGTGCCTTCCTGACTTGATCAGAACATGTTTGATAGGATATATTGGAAACAACGAAACTCCACACCAATAATTAAATATGGACCATCAAATATGAAGTCCACTTCTTTATCAACTCTAGATAAACCAATGTGTAACACATAAGCCTTCCTGACTTGATTAGGGAAAAAAAAAAGGAAGTCAACTGCAATATCATTGCATCCGACACCAATATATAATTTGATTAAGTGTTATTCAACGTGGCAGCTTCGAGGAAAGTCAGAAGTTTCATATCCAAATTAAAGTGATATTTAACTAAACAAGAAATATGAGAAGCACATTTCTCTTACCACCAATGTAAAATTCTGCTACTGAAGTTTCCCTCCTGTAGTTCCACATAATATTACTCGGGAAACTCTAAACCGATGATATAGAACTCAAACTCAGAAAACATCAATTCCACATCAGTGACACACTATGAAATATACAGACAATCGTCAAATGCAGCATTCAGAACATAAAACTGTATACAGACAGTGACCAGGTGGGTTGAATCCAGAACGCAGATTTTTAAAAATTCTGTTGATTATATTAAGGTAGTGCTGTAATATAGAAGTGGGAACGACGTGTACCTGACATCAGAAGAAAAAAGTCACCTCTCATTTGTTTTACTTTGATGTGACAGCCTCCATTATATTCGTTCAGATGTCACTGCATAATAATACCAAGAAACGCCAACAAAACAAAGAGGAAGACAATATTAAATACACCACAGAAATCTAAACAAAGACAATAATCACACGAAAAGAGGAATATAGTACTATTATTTTTGGATTGAGAAAATGACATTAGGTACCAAAGATGTAGAGCACAAACACATGTTGAGGTTCAGAGGTCCCAAAAAAGTTCCATAAGCTCTCTAAATCATACAAAAGACGATTTGCAATATCGTGCACCAGGTCTTCTAGGCTTATGGTTCTGTGTACCCCTAACGGCTATATGATACATGTGAAAGAGCTTAAACCATGTGAGAACAACAGTATATGCATCTAGAACGACAGCTCCACGAACAAGATATGTAACCTGCTCGATTATGTGTTCCATCTACCTTTGTATATCCCTTTTTAACATAAGGGTTATCTTTCTTCAACCAACCAAAAACAGAAAATTTCGTTATGGGATTTATCTGCAAATATCTCTGGCAGGTAAAAAAAGTAGCAGAACTAGAGAAAAATGGATTCCTTTATAAACTTAAGTGACGCTTTTGGAGCGAACCATTGCGTGCTCTGGCAAATACACCAGTGAAGGGTGATGATCTTTGGAAAAAACAAACAACTATCAGATTGCAAAAGCGCAAAAGGAGAAGAGGATGAAAGGAAAGTGAAAAAAAAGGTTACCGGCGGTAGAAACAACTTGAATTGATTTTTGACCCGGCTCAAGCCGTCTTTGATTAAGGTATTATCCTACGTGTCACTTAGAAGTTAACTGTTTAACGTAATATATATAAAGGCTTATTGTAGGGTGGAAAACACCGCACCGGATCATACCCGTCGAATCTCAGGTCATCGAATTAATTAATTAATTAGTGATTACGCAAAACCGAAGCAATTTTGCCGTTGAAGGGGTACGCAGAAATTCTGCCTGCGTCTCCGAACCAACTCTCGATCCGATCCGATCCGTTTTCTACTTCTCTCAATTTCGAACCAATTGGATCGCATCTTTCGGGGGCTCCAACCTTTGGTGACGAAGACGAGGAGGAAGAATTTTTTGTGCTCCGGGATAATTGTCGCATCTGATTTATATCGGAGAAAAGGTCTCTTGCCGGAAAAGACACGATCCGCTTTCATAAAGGAGAGATTTTTACAGATTCAGTGGACGTCATGGATGTGCCTAGCTCTTGGGATGCTTTACGGAAACAGGTATTTTTTCTTTGATTAAAATTCTTACATGGTTTGATTCGAAGCCACTAGATACTTGTGTATAACAAATTTTGGAAGCTGGTAGTCTCTGAAATCTGTCTTGTAATGCCATTTTGGAGGTCTGAATTGATATCATTCATCTGGGTTCGATTCGAATTTGGGGAATCTATTGGTCTTGTTAGCTGATTCTTAATGATTTATCTTTTTTTTGGATCCAATTGATACTTAAAAGGAATATGCTTTGTGTTGTTCTCTCTCATTTGAATCCCACAGGCTAGAAAGATTGAAGCTCAGCTTGACGAGCAGATGCACTCATATCGTAGACTTGTTTCAACAAAGGCTTTATCAAAGTCAGATGGTTCAGAGACTGATCTTGAAGCTGGGATTGACTTACTTCTTAGGCAACTCCAACAAGTTAATGCGCAGATGCAAGCATGGGTTTCTTCAGGTGGATCAGAAATGGTCTCCCATACTTTAACTCGACATCAAGAGATCCTTCAAGATCTGACACAGGTACGATCTTTTTCCTGACTCATGGCATTTAATAATTGCCTAATTCTTTAGCTTGGGTTTGATTGTATACTGATTAGTAATGGAATGAATGTTATCTTTTTAACCATTTGTTCTCACTCTTCTTTTGGACTAGTTTATGACTCAATTTTTTTGTTGTAAATCAGTCATGTTCCTGTATTTATGACTCGTTGAAAATGCAGGAGTTTTATCGACACCGGTCCAGTCTTAGAGCAAAACAAGAGCATGCTTCACTTCTTGAGGACTTTAGAGAATTTGATCGGACTAGATTAGATTTAGAAGATGGATATGGGTCTGAACAATCCCTGATCAAGGAACATATGGGAATCAATCGCAATACGGCACAGGTAAGTAAACTCCTTTCCCACTAATCTTTGTTAGACTCTACAGCTATAGCATACATTAAGCTGGACTTATGTGAGCTGACTATTATATAAACGGTGCAGATGGATGGTGTCATTTCACAAGCTCAGGCAACACTCGGTACTCTTGTATTTCAACGTTCAACTTTTGGAGGCATCAACTCAAAGCTTAGCAATGTCGCCAGCCGTCTACCTACGGTACAAAGAGCTTTCCTTATCTTATTTACACACTTTTTTGCTCTTTGCTTTCTTTATGTTCGATTATGGCCTGTGTTATCGTATATCTCACCCTGCAATTCGATGGTTAAAACCACTGCAGGTGAACACTATTCTGGCGGCGATAAAGAGGAAAAAGTCGATGGATACAATCATTCTTTCACTTGTTGCGGCTGTATGCACATTTCTCATATTCATTTACTGGATAACCAAGTAGAATTTGCCCATTCTTTCGTTTCATCTCTATGTTGGGCCACGTCTGGTTTTCCCATGATGTTAATTTGTTCTGCAATTATCGGTGTTCGAGTAAAGAATCTAAAGATGATCAAAAACATAAATATTGTGTACAGCAAATTCCATCCATGTCTTTGCAGTCTAGCGAACTTGTTAAAATGTTCAGTTATTTTTGAGATGCCCCACATACACCATCTGTTTCTCTATCTTGTAACTTTTTAGGTATGGGAGTATGTTGCTGCATTGAGAAGGGTACATGGCTACATGCAATACGGCTTTAATATAATCCTTATCATAACTATGTACGCAACTAATCCATATTTTGATCCATAAATGTCACATACCTCCGGAAACTAAGAACCATGCCAATAAAATTCTATCTAAGCCATATATCCAAGGGAACATACATTGGATGCATAAGAATGTGGTAAGCAGAAGATTTTACTTTTGCTCAACATAAGATTTAACAGCCTCCATCCATCTAATGTACTCAGCTTTATCTTTGTTCTTCATGTACTGATGCAAGAACTCAGCAAGATCATCACTTATACCTCTTTCCTCCAAAAATCGATAAACCGAGTCTTGAAGTTCATCTTCCATTTCCCTGTAAAATTAATCAAAAGACGAACAGGAGATATAACAAATCAGAAACACATAAAAAGAAGGAAGTTGTGTGTTTAAAAAGAGGGGATCAAATCTCAGTACTGGAATTCTGGTCCAGTATAGGAATTTGGTGAGTTTTTGCTGCTTTTACGAACAAAGAACTTGGAGATCTGTATAGTATCAGGCCAAGCAGAACACATGATCTCTAAGGTCCCACCATCACCCTTAGAGATGTTGACAATGAAAGTAATATGAAGCTGAACATCTTGAGGGTCGCTGCTTGTAGATTTTGATGATGGAACTGATCCATCAAACATGGTTGCTTCAATCTTAATATCTTCCTTGTCCCCAAAATTTCTTCTCAAGCTAATCCACTGCTCTCCTGGCCGCTCATCCACCGTAAATGGACCAAACCTGTCCTCAAGCTGAAATTTTGTGTACAAACAATTGCGCAGCTCAGCTCAGGCAGTGTAGCAGACAAAGGAACAAATTTCTCATGCAAGAATTGTGATTCAATCGATCAGACAAACCAGAGTTTCTTTCTTACTTGAATTGGGCTCATAATCAACCTTTATGATTCTCACAACAACAAGTCAATTTAACGGTGAACAAACATAATTCGAACTCCAGCAAGCATCATCATTTTGCGTTTGAGATGATTAAAATTCTAAATTTCAGCTTCAAAAGGTATCATCAGATTACCAAATGACAAACTGAAACTTTGAGAATACCTTAAGAATAGGCGAGTGATCGAGCTCGGACTGAATCTCAGAACGAATTAATCGGAGAATGTTACCTTGGAAAGCTGATTTTCGCATTTCTGATACGTAACTCCCCGAACTGAGAAACTTACGGCTAATTAAGAAACTAGGGTTTTGATTTGACTGGACACATATTCTAGGGTTTCGGTACGAAATCGAAGGTGATGAACTTAATATCACACTTCTTCGCAGACATCTGAGGAGGCGAGCCATTGACAGAGGGACGAATAACACGGGAGCAGAGATGAGGCTTTTCTTAGGGTTTAAGAGAACATCTGAAATTCAAGGAGGATTCTCTTTGCGAGGTTTTAGGATTTTTTGTTTAGTAACGGTGTAAGCTAATCTACACCGTCCCTTTCAAATATGAATCTGATGGTTATAAAACGGTAACAACGTGTGTAGTAGCAGAGAGATACGGCACTTTAGATGACTTGATCACCAACTATATAAACATGTAGAACTTGATGGTTTCTAATAGAACTTGATGTAATAAATCAAACATTATGTGTTCCCTCTATTGAAGTTAATCACATGTAACAAGAATCATATAATGTGTCTTTTTAATGTTTGAAAGATGAAAAACTCAAGTAAAAATGTGCTGAATCTGTTTGATTGAGAGCCCACCGATCCTGCAAAGCCACACCGAAACAGAGACAATCAATACCGGAGCAAACAATAAGGCCTAAAGTGGGTTCGACTTTAAATTGGTTTCTGAAAAGATTACCTACTCAAAGATTTGAAGCTGAGACTTGAGGGGACTCATATTGATTTCAGGCTTGTTTTTCGAGAATCCACTCAACAAAATTGTCAAGAATCAATGGCCATGCAAGCTCTGGATTGTAGTTCCCCATGTCCGGGAAACTAATCTGTAAATGTTACAAAACAATCCCAGTTAGTTGATGAAGCTGCCAAGCTGGGAACTAGAAGAATTAGGAAACATACCTCGTTACAAAACCGGTAAAGTCCCATCCATTGGTCCATGTTTATGACTTTGTAGTCGTTCTGGATCTGTATCAAACAAATATAACCAATCATGAGATGACAACAATGCGAGAAAACAACATTCTGGAAATTACACAATGTGAGACTTTTGAAGTAATCCCAAACCTTTAAATACTCGACAAAGTAGTCAACTTGGGCTCGAAATGTAGATCCCATGACGATTTCTAGGAGTTGACATATAGTCTCTATGTCTATGCTCTTCTGTTTTTCCTCTGCATTAAACAGTAAAACAAAGGTCAAACAAACATGAAAGGTAAAAGAGAAACAGCAAAATATATATCTCATGCAGAAGCAGAATTTAATATTACCTGTTAAACAATAGCGGAAGGCATAAGCATAGAAATCTGCAAAATTCGATGGCCTCCTGACCTTAAAGAGAGAAAAATAAGGAACAAAAAGCTTAACATGATTCAGTCTAAACGGATACTCAGAAGATGTCAATCAAAATGAAAATATAAAGGATAAAAGTTTGAACCTCTTTCTCAAGCTCAGGAAGAGCTTTCTTCAACTTACTGATCGTATCAGCTCTTAAAGCCTTCAGGCCTCTTCTCCACTCCTCCTACAGATGCACAATGAGTTAAGATAAAAAACCCAAATCACAAACTTCAGTCAAGTATCAAATAAAAAAGGATCTCTAGCTCTTATGTATTCTGCAAAAAAAAATTGTGCATTCCTTACATGTGTAAAGTAACCTTGTTTCTCAGCTTTCATTTTCCTGCGATTGCGACAATTTAAAAGTTTTTAAGGATATGTAACTGTGGTAAAGAACAAAGAGAAGCAGTAATAAAAAAATTTGATGGATAATTACCAAGCAAGCATCAAGATTCTGATATCAGTATGTGAGACTTCCAAATTGGAGCATAGTTCCTCTATTCCTTCAGGACTGTTCAAGTAGTAAATCACAAAAGTATAAGTACCAAAAGTATCTCAAAGAATCATAATTTATGGCAGGAACTGATATAACAGAGAACAATGATCCAGATTCTTCAGTTTTGCATGAAAAGAAAAATTGATTCGTCGTGCATCAACGGATACTTACTCAATAAGATTGGAAGATCTATTGGCATACTGATTAAATAAGTGATCTATTCGATCCATCTCTTTAGTCGAGGCCTTGCTCGAAGCTGAACCAAAAATTACACAAAAGTCAAAACATAGTATAAACGTTTATACAAAGCTACGGCGATAGTGATCACAAAAAATATGCAGAAGAAGTTAAATTCTTGAATAGTGAAGTATTGATTTTGAAAGCTTTCTCATCAAAATATACAATTATTCGTTCATCAACCACAAAACCCATCAAAGGGTACTGAGATTTCAATCCAATTCCGAATTAAAAGATGAGAATCACAGGAAACTTACAAAATCCGAAGCAAGAACAGAGACTTAAACTTTTGAGCATAATAATAACATAAACCCTAGACGGAATTGGTTAAAGAATCGGAAAGGATAACGAAAAAACCTGAGCGAAAGAGATCCGTGGTTACTGATTCAGCTGATTGACCTGATTTCTTCTTTGATGCAGAGCGACGCATCTGTACGGAATTGATTAGAATCGCAGAGAATTAGAGAAAACGAGTTTTTGGAAAAGAAACAAGTTCTATATATATAAGCAACAGAGAAGAAAAAAAAACCCAGAAAAGGAAAGAGAAGAGAAGAGGCACCACGAAAGAGAGAAACACACGAGAGTCGAGAGAGAGAGCTTCTAGATGGGGAAAGAAATCAGAGAGACGAAGCCACCTGATTGGAAGATATACGATTTCTCTCTTATATGATTCTCCCGATAACTACCCTTTTTATATGTATGTATTTTTATCTCATCTCTATACATACACATGTAAGTATTTACACAATTTCCTTTTTTACTTTTTTTTTTTTTTAGTTTCCCACTTTGTTCATTTATTTTGTAAAAAAAAAAAAAAGATCTAATAATTTCCATTAGGGGTAGTCCCTTATAAATACTATTAAGTTGTTAATAATCAAGTTGTACAAATTTCATTTTTATCTCTTTATAAATTCGTATCTTCTTATATTCATGATTAGAGATGTCAATCGGGCCTTCTGTCCGCGGGCCTAGTCCGTTTAGTGACCTAGCGGGGCGGGTACGGGCCTATGTAGTGAAGCCCAAAAAATAGCGGGCCTAGCGGGCTTGGTCCGTTTGAATTGCGGATTAAACAAGACATGCCCATTAAGGGCTGCGGGTTTGCGGGTCGGGTTTGCGGGCGACCCACTTGTTCTTCTTCCTTTGTACCGTACAAACTGCAGAATGAGGAGAGAAGATCGATCCAAATTAAAATCGAAATCAAAATCAAAATTGAAATCGAGATTGTTGTGATTGTCGCGGTTCTTGTTGCTGTGATTTTGATAGGAATCTTAGCTCTGTTTCTATGGATTATTTGAGCCATTTAAAGAACTAGCTTAGGACTTCCAATTCCACAAACCTGAAAATCACCTCATACGTTTCAAGCTTTTCCCTTAAATCTTTCTTTCTTCAATTTTCAGTGTCTTAAACTTGTTGGAGTTGAATAAGTCTTCAGAGACTTGGTCGTTTGTTGGTTTGAGTCAATAAGGCGAAGTATTAGGAACTAAGCCACGTTTGAATAAGTTTGTTATAGTTCCCTGTTTTGTCTCTGTTTTAGTTTGCTTCAGTTCTTGTAAGGCTATTTAAAGGCCATCTCAATTTCAATCTAAGTATCAGAGAAGTATTCTCAGAATTCTTTGTGTACTAAGTTTAACATTGTGGTATCAGAGCCCTCTCAAAAGGGGATCTGAAAGAGTGAAACACGAGTGATTTTTTTTTTGAGAAAAGAGTGAGCAAAGAAAGTGCGTGAGAGATGGCCGCTGAATCAAGTAATTTCAGTGCCCCGAGTGTGCCGAGATTTGATGGAGACTACGATCATTGGAGTTTACTCATGGAGAACCTGTTACGTTCAAAGGAGTATTGGAGTGTGATTGAATCAGGTTACAAGGAGCCTGAATCTGGTGAAGTGCTTTCGGCAGCACAGCAGAAAACCTTGGAGGAAGCAAGGCTGAAGGACTTGAAAGCAAAAAACTATTTGTTTCAGTCCATCGACAAAACCATTCTGAAGACTATCACGCATAAGGCGACTGGGAAGCAACTTTGGGACTCCATGAAAATCAAGTACCAAGGTAATGAGAGAGTGAAGCGCGCCCAATTGCAGAGACTCAGAAGAGTGTTTGAAACTTTGGAGATGAAGAGTGGAGAAACGGTGACAGATTATTTCGGAAGAGTCATGGTCACGGCAAACGACATGAGGATCTGTGGAGAAGACATGGAGGATGTGAAGATAGTCGAGAAAATTCTTCGAACGCTGACGGAGAATTTTAATTATGTCGTATGCTCGATTGAGGAGTCGAAGGATATCGATCAAATGACTGTCGATGGATTGCAAAGCTCACTGCTTGTCCATGAACAGAAATTAAGGCATAAGGGAGTCGAAGAACAGGTACTCAAAGTCGAGTATGATTACTCTGGAAGAGGAAGAGGAAGAGGTAACTTCGGAAGAGGAGGTGGTGGTTCTTCGAGGGGAAGAGGAAGAACCAGATCAGACTTCAATAAAGCAACAATTGAGTGTTTTCGGTGCCATAAACTTGGGCATTTCCAGTACGAGTGTCCGACTGCTGAGAAGGGAGCAAACTTTGTCGAGTTTGATGAAGGAGAGGACTTGCTTTTGATGGCACATGCAGACGTCAAAGGAGCTGAAATCCGAGGATTATGGTTTCTTGATTCAGGCTGTTCTAATCACATGACGGGGAACAGAGAATGGTTCATGGAACTTGATGAAAGCTTCAAACATGTAGTAAGGCTGGGAAACGACTCAAGGCTAGAAGTGCTGGGGAAAGGAGATGTCAGATTTGAGATCAATGGAGTGATTCAAATTGTAAGTGACGTTTTTTTTGTTCCAGACCTAACCAATAACCTGTTGAGTATTGGGCAATTACAAGAGAAAGGTGTGGAGGTTCTAATCAGCAAAGGAGAGTGTAAAATCTTTCACTCTCGGAGAGGCTTGATTGTCAACACCAAAATGACAGCGAACCGCATGTTCATTGTTTCTGCAATCATGAAACCTGGGCTGGAAAAATGTCTCAAGATCGAAGAAGAAGAGATGGCGTGCCTTTGGCACAGGCGCTATGGGCATTTAAACAACACATCGATCCGGACTATGCATGACAAGCAACTTGTGAGGGGACTGCCTAAGATGAGAGAAACGTCTAAGGTATGTGAAGTCTGCAACATTGGAAAACAACATCGTGAAGTAATGTCTAAGAAAAGTCAGTGGAGAGCAACAGAGAAGCTAAAACTGATTCATGCAGACTTGTGTGGTCCCATATCTCCAGTTTCTCACAGTGGAAAAAGGTACATCTTTCTTTTGGCTGATGATTTTAGCCGTAAGAGTTGGGTATATCTTCTTTCAGAAAAGAGTGAGGCGTTTGATGTTTTCAAAGCCTTCAAGAGTCTTGTTGAAAAAGAAGCTGGAACATACATATGTTGTTTGAGAACAGATAGGGGAGGAGAGTTCACTTCTAGCATGTTTAATCAGTATTGTGAAGAACATGGGATTAAAAGACAATTGACTGCAGCCTATACACCACAGCAGAACGGCGTTGCAGAGAGAAGAAACCGCACCATAATGAATATGGTTAGATGCTTACTCACGGAGAAGAGCATGCCAAAGAAGTTTTGGCCCGAGGCTGCAAAGTGGACTTGTCACGTTTTAAACAAAAGCATGACAAGTGCCGTGAAGGATATGGTTCCAGAAGAGGTGTGGAGTGGGATGAAGCCTAGTGTGAGCTACTTTAGAGTTTTTGGGTGTATTGGACATGTACATGTTCCTGATCAACGAAGAGTGAAGCTTGATGACAGGAGCAGCAAATGTGTTCTTCTCGGAGTGAGTGAAGAATCTAAAGCATATCGGCTTTACGATCCAAGTTCTAAGAAAGTGGTGGTTAGTCGGGATGTGATATTTGAAGAAGAAGAAAGATGGGATTGGAGTGCAGATAAAGATTCTGTTGATGACATTTTGGACTGGGGAGAAGAAGATAAAAACGATGGAGAAAGAGAAGAAGAGGCTGAGGTTGCTGAAGAAGATGACGATGGAGAGGGTGAGCAGCCAAATAATGGAGAAAATACTGAGAATTCTCCTCAGCCAGAGACACATCAAATGAGAGAACGAAGAGCACCTGGTTGGATGCGAGATTACGAAAGTGGAGAGAAGATTTCGGATGAAGAGGCTGAGACAGAACTGGCATGGGCACTGTTCTTGTCAAATGAGGATCCAGTGAGGTTCACAGAAGCAAGTAAAGAAGAGAAATGGATGGAAGCTATGAGGAGTGAGATACAATCCATTGAGAAGAACAAAACTTGGGAACTCGTGAGTCTACCAACAGATGCGAAGAAAATTGGTGTCAAATGGGTTTTTAAGACTAAGCTGAATGAAGATGGGAATATTGACAAACATAAGGCAAGACTGGTCGTAAAAGGTTACTCTCAAGAAGAAGGCATCGATTATGAAGAGGTGTTTGCGCCGGTAGCTCGTTGGGATACCATCAGAATCTTGTTGTCAATAGCTGCACAAAGAGGATGGAAGGTGCATCAGCTAGATGTGAAAAGTGCTTTTCTTTATGGAGAATTGAAAGAGGTGGTATACGTAGATCAGCCGGGAGGTTTTATCAAGAGAGGTGAAGAAGACAAAGTGTATCGTTTGAGAAAGGCTTTGTATGGATTAAAACAGGCTCCTAGAGCCTGGTTTAGTCGAGTAGAAGCTTATTTTAAGCAAGCCGGATTCAGCAGCAGCAGCTTTGATCACACTTTGTTCTTCAAAAGAGAAGGAGAAAAATGCATCATGGTGAGTATTTATGTTGATGATTTGATTTTTGCTGGGAATGATGAGGTGTTGCTTGAAGATTTCAAACAGTCAATGAAACAAGAGTTTGAAATGACTGATTTGGGGTTGATGAGGTTCTTTCTCGGTGTGGAAGTTCGTCAAAGCTCTAGTGGAATTCATTTGTGCCAAAAGAAGTATGCACAGGAGGTGCTAGAAAGGTTCAACATGGCGGACTGCAATCCTGTCAAGAACCCGATAGTTCCAGGAGCTAAATTGACAAAAGAAGGAATTGGAGAAGAAGCTGATGGTACTTTATACAAACAGCTAGTAGGGTGCTTAATGTACATCACAGTTACAAGGCCAGACATGATGTATGTGGTATGTCTACTGTCACGTTTCATGGCAAAACCAAGAGAAGATCATATGCTGGCTGCAAAAAGGGTGCTAAGGTACTTAAAGGGAACACTAGATCTTGGTGTGTTTTATCAGAACGGGTCTGAGCCAGGAGTAAAGGCTTATACCGACAGTGATTATGCTGGAGATGCCGATGATCGAAGGAGTACCTCGGGTTATGTGTTTTTACTAAGTGGAGCAGCAGTGTGCTGGAGCTCAAGGAAGCAAGAAGTAGTTACTTTGTCCTCGACAGAAGCTGAGTATGTCGCTGCGACATCGTGTGCTTGTCATTGCGTTTGGTTGAAAGGGGTTATGGAACAGATTTTTCACGAGCAATGTAAGTGTCTGGAAATTCATTGTGACAACACTTCATCTATTAAGCTGTCAAGAAATCCGGTGATGCATAGGCGCACAAAACACATTGATGTAAGGTATCACTATATACGTGATCTTACGAATCAAGAGGTGGTGAAGTTGGTGTTTTGTGGAACAGAAGAACAAATCGCAGACATCATGACAAAACCAGTGAAGTTGGAGACTTTCA